TATTGGGGTTATTTAAAAGTAGAGCAAAATTCTGCAAAAGCTGGTGCCCTCTTAATGCTTATTATGGGATACTTGACCCAATTTTGCTGTTGATTTTGTTTGAGTGCAATTATACCAACATTGCTACTTAATAGAGCAGTTGCTACTAAGTTTTTGCAAAAGCATAAGGAAAAGAATGATACACTTTCAAGTATTTCATAGTAGAACCTACAAAGCTTGATGCTGATAATGAGATGTTAGAAGCTATTTTTTGTTGTAGTTGCTGTTTTTCTAGTGCAATAATGAGATGGCTACGTGTATAGTATGTGTTCTGTTAGGTCAGCTTTAGAGATTCTTATGTTTATGCTAATGTTATGATTCATTGCTGTGTTAGTGCTTTGCTGTAACTCGCTTTAATGGCTGCTTTACGCTTCTAGTCCGCGCTCTTCCCGTGCTTCTACCCCCGCCATCGGCATGACTGCCAGGGTTCTGGAGGCTAGCGAGAGGTGAGGCAGTGGCTGTATACGAGCATTGCAGCTTGTAGTATTCTGTTTATTGATTAAACTATCTAGCATTTATTAGCCTATGTTGGACCCACAGAAAGATTCATTTTTCAACTTTAAAGTTCAGTGTGTTTTCCTTAGCATTATCATGTTGTCTGACTTAAATGTGACATGGAACAATCATAAAGTTCAATATGTTTCTTTAAGGTCATCATGTCGTGTAACCGAAATTTTACACAGGGAGCAATCATAAAGTTCAATGTGTTTCCTTAAGGTCATCATGTCGTGTAACCGAAATTTTACACAGGGAGCAATCATAAAGTTCAATGTGTTTCCTTAAGGTCATCATGTTGTGCAACCAAAACTTTACACAGGGAGCAGTCTAAAAATTCAATGTGTTTCCCTAGGGTTATCATGACTGTTGACGCGCCAAAGGCACGTCTGGAAGTGATGAATGCCCGGCGCTCGGACCGTGGGAAGTACGCCATCACCGTGTCTAACAAGGCCGGCAAGAAGTCCAGCTCCATCAACGTCAATGTGCTGGGTAAGGGGCTGTTTCTTATGTCATAACACTCACATAAACAGTCTATAACATCATAGAATGAAGATGAAAAAGCGGGAAAAAAGGAAAAATTGTCATCTTCATACCACTCACAAAAACAGTCTGTAACATCATGTAATGTCAGTTAGTACTTAGCAGTAAGGGACGGATTCTTATGTCACACCACTCACAAAAGCAGTAATATCGTGGGAGGGACGCTCAATACTTACATGAAACAAATAATAGTCTTCATCACTCAAGTTAGGGAGACAGACAAAAACAGGCATTTGGAAATGTCCAAGAATGGGCTGTTTTGTCATACACGTCGTCAAAAAGTCCTCAACACTTACCTGTAAAAGGTAGCTCCTTGCTAGGTAAACATACACAACTGTTATACAGATGTTGAAAACTGTATTCATTAAGCACATAGGATACACTTTGACTATTCAAGAGTGTACTCAGAGTCTTACTGTTACTTGTTCTAACCCCACAGCCAAGCCTGGTCCGCCCACCAAGCTGAACATAGATGAGATCACCAACAGTTACGCCATCCTGAACTGGGAACCGCCAGAGGACGATGGAGGAAGCCCCGTTCTCAACTACGTGGTCCACAAGAAGGACACAGCCAGGTAAGGATTTCTCTAAGAAATTTTGGGCAGGGGAGAATCCTTTCCTAGGAAGTTCCATGTTATTCCAAGACTTGAAACAGTCACTTTCCATTAGCAAACAACTTTCAGAACCAAGGACAGGGCAAGTTTCTAGTTTGTCATATTTGTCCACAGTTTTATTTACACTTCAACTAGCTATACATGTAGGATTTGACTACCTAAAGGGTAATTTGTAGTAGCCAATGCCATCCCTTAACTAGTCCAGTCCTCCTAGATGTTTCAGCACCAAGGGCAGGGCAAGTCTAGATTACATTTTCCTTGCCACCAATAACCTCCCTTACCCTTCTAGATTTGGACATAGATCTAAAACTTGTACATGAGTGCCTTATGTACAAAATCTTTATCAGAGCTATCTGATGCACAGTTTGCATTCCGTTGTGATATAATTGCCTGTCCAGTTGTCAACTAGAAACTCTATTGCACAACAATTGTACAAGGTATACAAAGTATGACATCTATCTATTGCTATAAAACATCATGCCATCAGACTATACCTAACAAAGACTATGTAGTATGGGAAGAGACTGTGCTAACACTGAAGTACAGTTTGTTTTCCTTTATGTGTGCTGTGGTTGCCTGTCGAGTTTTCTAAGCTGACCCTTCTCCCCCCTGTAGGAACGTGTGGGCTCCCGTTGCGGAGGCGTATCCGGTGGCGAAACAGACGATCCACATCCCGAACCTGCTGGAGGGTAGCGAGTACGTGTTCCGGGTGCAGGCTGAGAACCAGATCGGCATCGGCCGGCCCAACGACAGCATGCCCATCGTGGCCAGGTGGAGATACCGTAAGTTCTGAAATTCCTCTTATTCCCTTGCAACACGTAAGGCCATAACTTTTCCTTCCATCTGGGTCTGTCCTTGGCATAATCCATGCCCATCGTGGCCAGGTGGAGATACCATAAGTTCTCAAGTTACTTCTCTTCTCTTATACCCTTTTGAGAGATAACTTTTTCCTTTCATCTGTGTCTGTCCTTGGCCATCTTCTTTACTTCTTGCCAGGATAATCTCCTGGACAGTCCTCCAAGTGGTTTTGGGTCTACCTATTTATTTTTCCAACTTGTCTCCAGTTTAAGGCTGTTTTAGCTGTTATTAAGTCACCCATTATTAGTACATAGCCAAGCCATTTCAATCTTCTGTTAGTGATTTCTGCAGATAATCTGCTACAACCAGTTTTGTTATAAAGTTCCTCATTTGAAATCTTTTGAGGCCAGATGATGTGAGACACAACATGGTACTTTTACAACCTCAACTAATTAAGGGATTGATGAATTTATCATGTCTTGTATGTCTAACAAAATGCTGCTGTTGTTTCCCAGGTGTGCCTGACGCACCGGACGCGCCGTCCATCTCCGACATCCGGCGCAACGCCATGACGGCTACCTGGCGCGAGCCCTTCAACGGAGGGTCAAAGGTCACCGGGTACTACCTGGAGAAGAAGGAGAAGGACGCTTCCCGTTGGCTGCCGGTCAACCAGGAGCCGATTCCATCCAAAACTCACAGGTGAGTGGGCGTAGTCGGAATCTACTCGAAAACTCCTACTTTCACAGATATTTTGTACAACTCAGAAACATTCACATTCAGTTAGTAAGTAGTAGAAGAGATACAAGGCATCACCTACACAATAAGTTTATACAATAAATATTTTGAATATGATACAGTTAAAAAATGTATGAGCTTTGTAGATAATTTCTACAAACTATGCTAACATTTAAAGATGACTTTAAACTACACAACTACACAACTGTTGTACCACAACACTGCTATGGACTACAGTCACAGACTACATGTCAATACATAGTAGCATATAACATTCCTGCAAGCTATGCCAATCTGTACTAAGAAATGGGAAAATTAAAAATGACTTTACACAACTTTTGTACCTCAACACTGCTAAGGACTACAGTTAACACATAGATCATGATCGTAACACTATGAATATTTTTCAGGATTACCGGCCTGCTGGAGGGAATGGACTATGTTTTCCGTGTGAAGGCTGAGAACCGCGCTGGTGTCGGCCCGCCCGGACCCCCCTCCCGTCCACAGAAGGCTGAGGATCCTATTGGTAAGTGGGCCATGGCCTGGTCTAGGAGATAAAAACCTTACACATGTAGCAGTAATGGATTGTGTTTATCCTTTGAATAATAACTTTAAGGAATTGTCACAGAAAAAGTTAAAAATTCTGTCGTATGATTACATAAATCTGTGGACAATTTCACCAATTCAGAGTAATGTTATGTAACGTGTTTCACATTCATTGTTGTTCTGCTGGTTAAGTGGTCACAATCTCTTCTCAGAGCCTGAGCACATTCATTGTACAGTCAGCATTCTTGGGACAGTGTTATTAACCAATTATATCCACCAATTATATTGGTCAAGGGTCCATAAGGTACATTGTAGTTTCACATCAATCTTGTCCAAGATTTTTTCAAATTTGTTTATAAAGTCTTACGGTGTTGCCCCCCCTCCCCAGACCCTCCTGGCCCGGTGGTTGACCCCGAGTGTTACGAGGTAACCCGATCCAGCGCCTCCATACGCTGGAAGAAACCCGAAACCGACGGCGGCAGCAGGATTCTGGGATACATCGTGGAGAAGCGCAAGGCCGACAGCGACCTCTGGACGTCTTGCCACGACACTGAGATGCACAGGTGAGAATCTTTCCTCAGCACCTTTAGTTAGTTCTTCTAGTTTAGGTGAGCTTTGGGATAAACCTTGAGAACTTAACCTTCTGCACACTTTGTATGGTCAGAATTTGACGTTATTTGGATCAACAGTTAGCTTCAGGTTACACTGGACAAACCTGACTTGAGAGCTTCAGTTTCTACACGCTTTGTACCGGCAGACTTGGACTTAATTTGGATTCACAATTAGCTTCAGGGTCAAGACAATATTGTCCAACTTAAGAACTTAATCTTCTGCACACTTTGTACAGTCAGACTTTGACTTTCTTTGGATCCACAAGTAGCTTCAGTTCACACTATATTCTACATAGATATATAAAATCATGAGACAGAAAGATCCAAAAATAACAATTATGTTCTTTGGCAAACACAGCAGCCTCAAAAGGTCTACTGGCCTACTGGTCTTTGGATCAGAGAATAGTGACATTGTCACTCTGCAAATAGTGTCCAAAGTATGTTTCTGTAGTCTATGAAGAACAGTACTGCTCCAAACTGCAAGAACATATTCTACAATATTGTTCAATCTGTTCTTTGGCAAGAAATACGTGCATGACATGTAACAGGACATTTGCATGCAAGTTCCCAAGTTGCATGCATGAAGCTCCCAGCATCAGCCTGCCAGTGCGTGTGTCTCTGGTCAGGCTCACCTTTGGTAGCGAGAAAACAGCACAGTTTCCCTTGCCAGCAGGGACTCAAGTAGCTCTCTGTGTTCTCAGGGAAACAACAGTAATAATGTAAGAGCTATTAGCAGAGAAAAACTGCAATCAACATGTACATACTGGAAAACATATTTAAGAAATATTTATCCGAGCCTACCATTTTAGATTAAGTCTTATTTGACAATATAGATGTACGATTGACATAGATGTGTTACTTATTAAGAGAATCTTTGCCTGAAAAATAACTCATTTGCGCACAATTTTGGATGTTGTCAGATATCTAACTTGATCTTGCAGTGCAGTATAGCTGGTGTCGTTTCTTGGTTTGTACATGTTTTGAATTGGGGTTTGTAGTGTTGAAGTAGTGTAGATGTCTCATTGCATGAAAGTATAAGTTGTAAGACAAATTGTAGAGATAAATCAAGGATTCTTAGCAAGCTCGACATGCATGGGTTATTGACAAGAAAATTTCTGAGAATGGTTAGAAAAGTTTGGAAGCTGCATCTTCAACCTCCTGGCAGCGCTCCCTGGCTGTTGAGGATCACCACTGCAGCGACAGCAAACTTCAGTTTCTCTCGCCTTCAGGGTGCAGACTTGCACTCTGTCTCCAAATGGAAACCATACTTTTAATACTCGCAACACTGGCTAAGGAATGTAGAGATTGTGTCAACAAAAATGTCTTTATTAATCCTATAGTCTGTAGGATAATTCAGCTGCATCCCCAAGAAGTTAAACTAAAGAGGAATGCTTCTAGACAAAGTTTTTTAAAGCCTTGAACAGTTGTTAAGTTGGGTTGATGCTGCTAACACATGGTAAATATCAACTTTATACATATTGTCCTTACTCATATCTATAAGCTCAACCTCGTAATTATAGAAAAAACAGCATAGATGACCTCTTGTGCTTAAATGTGGTGTAACCCGCAAGTGGTTGAGTGCTAACCTGTAAGTTCTTCTGTGCTAACCCAGAAGTGGTTGTGCGTTAACCTGGAAGTGTTTGTTGCAGGTCCCTTGAGCTGGTTGTTCCGAGCCTGTTGACAGGACAGAAGTACGTGTTCCGTGTCTGTGCAGCGAACCGCGCCGGACACGGGCCGTGGGAGGCCGTCCCGGGTACCATCCTTATCAAGGAGAGGGAAGGTACGGCACTCCAGTTGATTCTTTCTTCTCATTGGTTACAAATTATACTCAAGAACATGACATCTAGAACCCTATAGGGATTCACCTTTATCTTTGAAAATCGGCAAAATTGGCATAAGTGCATTACATTTCGGATGTTATTAAGTGTTCAGGTCTTTCCACAATAATAAGTTCCTATTTCATAGGAGATGCATACTTTGGTAATCCTAGTAAGTTTGTCAGCAATGTTTATAAGGCCTTGTATGTTTAGAAAAATCCATCATTCTGTTAATCCACCCTAATGCAAGTAATTTAGACTTCCTTCAATCTGTAGAGGATTCTCGACTATGAAATGCACTATTGTGTAGTTTCTTGTACTAATTAGTGTTATAGTTATGATCTTTCTGGGGAACATTTCAATGATTATTTGTTATCGTACTCTCACACACATGTTTTCTGTACCCCCCCATGCAGAGCCCCTAGTGCTGAACCTGGACGCCAGTTTTAAGGAGCTGTACGTGCTCCGGGCCGGCTCTGTGCTCAGGATCCCCGTCATGATCGGAGGCCGCCCTGAGCCAAAGATCGAGTGGTTCAAGGAAGGACAGAAAACCCATGGAAGGTTCGTTGCAGCGTTTGATTACTAGAAAATGAATGCAAACCTAAAAAATGAATGCAAACCTGTCCTATAAAACACAAACTTTGGCATATGTGTCAGATCTATAGCTGTAAGTGGCAAAATTGGTTAAAGATTCAGTTGACGTCCTAGTGAAGGTTCGTTGTGACTTCTGGGGCCTACAAGAAGCAACTCACTATCCGGTTTAGTGTATGTACAACAGTCATATGGTAAAGAATCAGATGTGTATTTTCTTGAAAATAGATGCGGTTGATGTTGGGTGTTTTGTTGCAAATAGAAAAACAGATGAGGTTGTCTACTGCTAAGTCATTGAATCTCCTAATGCACATGATCTTGCTTATTCTCATTCAAAACTTTGCTACTCGACTCAAGATGAAGTTTTTCAGTCAGTAAAATGATTATGCTCTAATTGCAGGACCCTGATAGAGAACACAGCCATCAGCACCACCCTGCTGATTAAGAACTGCTACAAGAGCGACGCTGGAGAGTACATGCTCCGCATCTCCAACCAGAGTGGCAAGAAGGAGTGCCGTGTACAGGTACGGCTGTTTGTTGGTTTGTTTGTTGTTTGTTTGGGCCTTTATTTAGCTTAAGTCTGATCGTATGTGACCTAGAGGTGGGGTGTTAGAATCCAGTATGGTCTTGTATCTCCAACCAGAGTGGCAAGAAGGAGTGCCGTGTACAGGTACGCATGTCTGTCTTCTTTTTTGTTTGGGCCTTTGTTTAGCCAAAGTGTGATGAATATAACTGTGCTGTAAGCTATGCGTGAGATATTTTGATATTTAACCTACATGTACAATAAATGCTACCTACCTACCTACCTACCTAGTCCCATGACTGACACTGGTCGTTGGGGGACAAGGCAAACCTTGCAGCAGAGGTGTTGCCAGATTTCCTGTCTTGGGCTGCTGTCAGGAGTTGTGGGATTGTTACCATAACATCAGCTTTAAACTTCAACTTTCCTATCATACCAGGTCCGTGTGGTTGACAAGCCGAGTGTGCCGCTGAACCTTCGCAGTAAACCTGAGGAAATCACCTCAGACATGATCCCTCTGTACTGGGACGCGCCCGAGGATGACGGTGGAGCAAAGATCACCCACTACATCGTGGAGAAACGCGAGGCAAAACGTGCTGCCTGGGCATCCGTCTGCAACACTGTTAGGTACGGGAACATCGCAACTTTGTGGCAAACAGCAACACTGTTAGCTGAGGAAATATTGTGGCAAACATTTGGTTAAAATGTTAAGGATGGGATCATTACAACATTGTGGCAAAACTTTAGGAACACTGTTATTGATGGAATCATTGCAACATTGTGGCAAAATTTAGCCACACCATAATCTACAGATTCTGAATCATGGCAAATTGTGGCATTATGATATAGCAAATGCAAAAATGCTGTTCAGGATGGTATCATTGCCACATGGTGGCAAAGGTTTAAAAGATGACCCGTGCACCTCATAGCAAAGGTATAAAATAATTGTGACATTGTAGCAAAATGGAAGCATTTTGATCAATAGATATTGACTGCAATGTTGAATGTTCCCCCCCTCCAGGACGACCTGCATTGCACCGGAACTTGTGGAGAAAATGGTCTACGAGTTCCGTGTACGTGCAGTCAACGAGATCGGCGAGGGCGAGAATGCGCTGAGTGGCAAGATTCGTTGCCAACCACCGCTCTGTAAGTAATTCTAACAGCTGGAGACTGATAATAATAGTAGCTAAACTTGTAGATGTCAGAAGAACAGCCATTCAAGTCTTCATTTGCAAAGAAAGCTGTCTGACGTCCATGCTTTTTATAATTACAAATTTGTCTTGAGCTACCTTCAATAATTATTTTTTGTTGATGATTAATGTGTAAATTATGTGGCTATTTTTCCACATATCATGTACAGCCAACTGGCTACTACCAGATAGCAACGTGTTGTTTGACAATAAGTACAAGTTGAAAAAATCATACCTAAATCTTAGCAATAGATTATTCAAGGATCATAAATGATTTCTGCCTCGAAGAACGTGTGTCTGAAACACGTAATGCAGCTTCAATAATCTAGATACTAAAACACATGTACATGTACGGTAACAGTAAGTACAGTAACTGGTCTACTACTAACTGAAAGACTGACCAAACCTTGTTCCCCCAGCTCCCCCGGCCCCCCACTAATGCTGGATGTCGAGGACACGTCCAAAGATTCTATCCTGCTGGACTGGGACCCGCCTCGCGAGGATGGCGGCAGTAAGATCCTCGGGTACTTCGTCGAGATGAAGGGACCTGACGACACGGACTGGCGTAAAGTCAACATGTAAGTATTAGTCATATTTTACAGTAGTGGCCAAATATTGGACATAGAAAAACATGGCCCATTTCAGAATGTTACACCAAATCTTACAAGCCAATCACCTACACCGACTCTTACTACACACGATTCACTCGCTCTGGATTTTAATACTCTTCTTAATAATATTTTAGCTCTGTCATTTTATGTCTCTTGAATGTACTGTTCATTAAGGCTTTGGAATATCAATGTGACAACAATTTCTATTGTAGGACAAATATGGCACAAAGTCAACATGCCAGTAGTCTCTAATGGTTTTGCTGCCAACTTTTTCTGTTTTCCTTTCACTTGCCAGTGTAGCCTTTTGTTCTAAGTTTCTTTTGCACTGCTTTTAGTTGAGGCCTTTGGAATACCACACTGACTTGGCAGGACAACAAAAAAAACGTTTGATAATTCAAAACAGCATCTTTTCAAACTTGTAAATGTCTTAACTGTCAGTAAATGCTAAAGGCAATTTTTTAGCAAACAACTGAAAGCACAGTACGGGTATTTATCATACAGAAGAGCTGAATCAGTAAGAAACTCTATCTACGCCATCACCATTTTGCTTACTCAAACCTCTGCTGTTCCTCCCCATCTTACAGGGAGTCGTTCACCTCCAGCCGTTGGGAAGTGAAGGGTCTGCGTGACGATGTGGACTATGACTTCCAGGTGAAGGCCACCAATGCCATCGGTGTGGGACCGCCCAGCGAGCCCATCACTGGGGCCAGGTGCTTCGAACTACCAAGTAAGTACAGGCTTGAAGTACCAGTGTATAATAGGCTTCCAAGTTCATACTGTTTCATGATCAGTTTCAATGTCTTTATGGTTCCTGGCTCCATCACTAGTACTGGTGCCAGGTGCTTCAAACTGCCTCAAATACTAAGTGTGTGTGTGAAATAGGCTTCCACATTATGGTGTGTCAGTTTCCATGTCTTTAAGGGTTCTAGCTGCATTGTTCTGACAGGTTTAGCTCAGAATGTGTCGCTTATTCTGATAAATTGTTTGTCAGTCTTCTCCTTTGATATCATACTTTGATCTTTGAAAATGGTCTCTAAGTTCAATATCTCTGCGATATACATGGTAAGGATTTTGCATACCATACTGGTAAATGCTTGAATGCAGTAGGAATAACCTTTATTCCTCTTTTCTCCCCCAGGTGCCCCTGCCATTGACCTGGCCATCTCCATGCGAGACCTGGTCGTTGTAAAGGCTGGAACTCCCATCAAACTACACGCTCGCATCGAGGGTTACCCCTACCCTTCAGCACAGTGGCTGTCTAAGGTGAGCTGGGGTACTGGTGTGGTTGGGATAGTGGTGTGGTTAAGATACTGGTGTGTTTGAGATAGTGGTGTAGTTTGTATAGTTGGATCTGAGAGAGTTGTGAAGGCTGGAACTCCCATCAAACTACACGCTCGCACTGAGGGTTACCCCTACCCTTCAGCACAGTGGCTGTCTAAGGTGAGCTGGGGTACTGGTGTGGTTGGATCTGAAAGTTGCCAGGATCTTGCTCTGTGTTGTTGTGGTCTAACTTAGAGTTTGAATTCTGGCTGTTGTCAATGACTAAGTCTTATTAGCAAGCTACTGGAAAAGGATTTGAGAAGGGACAGTCTACTGTTCTTTGCACAGATCAACAAGTGCTAGGAAACTGACTTTTGTATCTTTCATGATCTGTATGAGTTGAGAGTTGCCTGGATCTGGATATCTGTGTCATACATGTATTTGGTACATTTAGTTTGAATTCTGGTAGTTGTTACTGACTTATTAGCAAGCTACTAAAAATGTTGAGAAAGAGTGTTGTTTTCACTGTGCAGTGGATTCCAACTGGTCTGCAATAAAGTTGCTGTTTTGTTAATGAATGAGATCAAATATTAAACATGTCCATGTTCAGGGTGAGCCCCTTGAGGCCGGCGACCGTTACTCCATGAAGACCACGAAGTCAACAGCAGAGCTGGTAGTGAAGCCGAGCCTGCGCAGCGACACCGGCAGGTACCATCTGGTGGTGAAGAACCTGGCTGGGACTCGCAAGGCTCCCATTAACGTCAAGGTTCTCGGTGAGTAATTAGCTATCTAATTAGCATTTAATTAGCTACATAAACCTGGCTGGGACTCGCAAGGCTCCCATTAACGTCAAGGTTCTCGGTGAGTAATTAGCTATCTAATTAGCATTTAATTAGCTACATAAACCTGGCAGGGACTCGCAAGGCACCCATTAATGTCAAGGTTCTCGGTGAGTAATTAGTTGATTATTAGTAATTAGCTATCTGTAATTCATTGTATGATAGCTAATGGAACTGATAAAAACTATCCAAGTGCCTGATGTTCTTTCTGCTATTCAGAGGCTGCTTTCTTTGCAACCCAATGGTTATGATAAGATTATAATTGTGTTGACGCAAGAACCTAGAAATAAAAGCCCTGACAGATTTGGAAAAGAACTTCTTGTACATGTACAGTACATTTTGTATGTCTGTTTTTGTTTCATAAATTTGCAATCCGGTATGTACAAAGGAGACAAGACAGTACAGTGAATTCCTAATAAAATAATGCATGTCACCCACACTTATGATGAAAAAGAGCTAGCAAAAAGGGTATATGTACCTCTGTTTCCTCACCTGTATGCTCACCTGTCCGTCCCCAGACCGCCCCGGCCCGCCGCAGGCACCTGTCCAGTTTGAGGACATCCACCAGGACCAGGTAACCCTCAGGTGGAGCGTACCTGCCGATGACGGCGGAACCGAGGTCACTAACTACATCGTGGAGCGCCGAGAGGCCGCCAAGACCTTCTGGACAACCGTCAACTCTAACCTGTCAAGGTCAGGACTAGATTTTTTAACTAAGATGCCCTTCTTCACAAATAATCATGCCTTGGCTTGTACTATCTTGTAACATCCCTGGCCTTGGTGCTTAAATGTCTTCCATACAATGAGTACTGAACGAGAAGCTGTAACAACAGGCACAACAGTAATTTTTGGGAGGAGAAGGAAGAGGAAAAAGGATTTCAAGACTCTAACAAGTAATAGTTCTTGAAAGAAAATTTTCTCACAGGTAAAGGAGTAGCAAAGGAAGACTAGCCTTGTACCTTATTAAACCTTCTCCCTGCTGCCTAATGCAAGAATCATTATAAACTTGGTGCCAAAAGGCTACCTTAGCAGATTGCAGGTTAATGGCCTGTCCCTAGTGCTGAAACTGTGGTGGTTATTAAGCTTCTCCCTGCTGCCCCATAACCAATACAAATTTGCTGCCAAACGGCTACCTTAGCATGCTGAAGGTGTAGAGATAACGTCATGTTTCCTCCCTTCCCAGGACGAGGATTATGGTACCGAAGCTGATCGAGGGAACACCCTACGTGTTCCGCATCAAGGCTGAGAACAAGATGGGCATCAGCGACCCTCTGGACTCAGAACCGGTCACACCAAAGAGCCCATATGGTCAGTCTGTGTTCTATCTATCCCCTTATAAACAGCACTCAGAAACAATTAGAAGTGGGGAAACTATGATATGCATTATCAGTAGTCTGTATATTAGAATTATAACTGTTTCAGTTTCTCTTTAAGATTGCAACTCAAATCAAAATACAGATGAAGTGTAAGTTTGCATTGATCATTTTCTTACGAGCATATTACCTTTCCTACAATGAGAAATAAACTAAAATTGGTCCATGCAAGTCTACTCATTAAGGTCAATAAATTACAATGAACTCTAAACCTTTAATGCAAACTTCAACAGTTTTATTGTTAGTTGAGCATCGCATATTTTGGGTTTTAGGTATTTGATTGAATACAAACCTTTCAATGGTACATTGTGGTTCTCAAGTAAATCTAAATCTTTCTCTGCTTCCCATCATAGACCTGCCTGGCCCACCCCTGGAGCTGCGCATTATTAACGTACAGAGCGACACGATGAGCCTAACCTGGCTGGAGCCGGACTTTGACGGCGGCTCTCCTGTACAGGGATACTTCCTGGAGAAACGCGACAAGATCAGCAAGAGGTGGCTTAAGGTGGGCTCAGCTTCTTCAAGTGTTTTCCTCACAAAATTGGAACTTAATTTTTTGAAAGATGTAAGCATATGGACAGGTGCAGTTTCTCTCCAAAGACTTTGTGTGAAATGTTAGCAAGCCTTGTAAAAACTACTAAAAATTATCTTGATAATTTTCACACAACCGGTATATTAAAAGTTGACAGACTGTACATTGTATAATTTAATAAAAAAATCCCTAGCAATACCTTGCGGCAGGAATATCATCATGATTATTTTGTAGTTTGTATTGTGATTCACAATGTTTGGAGCAGTTTTAGAGAAAATCTTTGATCTCCACATTACAGATTGAGAAAGACATGCTGACAACCACCACCTACAAGGTGGGAGGTCTGATCGAGGGATTCTCGTACGAGTTCCGTGTCAGCGCAAAGAACGTCGTCGGCACAGGACCTCCGTCTGAACCGACCTTCCCGACTGTCGCACGGCCGCCACTGGGTAAGGAAAACTTTTTTGTCTGTTTTCATAACTTTAAAGAAAAGATTGACAATTGAAAGATTGTCTTGAAAATGCTGATAGTAATCTGTGAGAGACTCTGAAAGTTTTGTAGTTTAAACTAGTCTCAAAACCTTACCAATTATCATGCTATCAGCAATTAGAGTGAAAATTTCTGTAATTTTTTTCTATTCTTTGCTTATAAGGACACAGTTGGTGACTCTTAACACTAAAATATGCTTCAGAATATTCTGTATGTGCCGTGACTGTCCAGACCCCTTAGATTCTTTGCTGGAGCCCCATAGGGTTTACCAGACCTGCTCTGCTATTGATCTAACCCTGTGTTTCTGTGTGTGTCCAGATCCCCCAGATCCCCCACTGGAGCCCCATGTTGTTGACCAGACCCGCTCGACCGTGGACCTGGAGTGGGATGAGCCTGTGTATGACGGCAGTCTGCCCATCGAGGGTTACCTGGTGGAGCACAGGCTTAAAGGTGGGGATATGTCCTGATTTCCACCTGTACTTCTCTGAATTATGCTCTGTTCAAAATGAGTGGAAATTCATACAGCATAAGGAAATACATGGCAACACAACTAAACTAAGACAACATCTACACGTGTGTAGCATACAGAAGCACAGAAAGAAGAGAATCTCCTCTAAACCATAGACCAACTACCATGGCTAAATAGTACTAGATGAGCTCGCGAATATTGAGTGTTGTGGACCATGGAAGCCTTAAGCAACAGTTACTATGATTACCTCTTCCATCATCCTTCCTGTGCATTCTTTGCATTCATCCAGTTGAAAATACCACTGTAATTTTCAAGCTTCTTGTAACACAGTCTTCTCCTCAGGTTTGTTTATTAAAATTTTGTTTCTTGTTTATCTATCCAGGTGTGGAAACCTGGACCAAGTCCCACGACACCAGCATGGTAGCCAACATGTACTACACGGTGGCCGGGCTGGAGGAAGGGCGAGAGTACCAGTTCCGCGTCTTTGCCATCAATGGCGCCGGCAAGTCCAAACCTGCCGAGGTGCCTGGATTCACCGTGGTCAGAGACATCACAAGTAAGTACAGGTCATGTGTACAACTGTAGTGGGAGACCTCATGTGGAACTGTGGTGTGATACCAAATTTGAGACCTGGATGTAGTTTCAGTACCAAGGTCAGGGACATCACAATAAAATACAGGGCTGGCCGATTTCTTAAAGGTGTCAAACTGTACTGTGAGACCCCATGTGGAACTGTAGTGTGAAACCATCTTGAAATGTAGAATGTGATATTGTTTCAGTTTATTGTGTGTATTTCAATGTACACAATTTGCTTTAGACATGTTGACACACATGATTGTCAACTTTTTCTCACAGTTTACCACACTGACAGACAAATTTAAGGCAACAACTATGACTTCCTGAAATAGTAATGAAAATATAACTGGATTTTGGGTATTAGATTTTGCCAAATTTATACTGAAATGCAAGTATGAGGGTTTAAAAGGTATTTCACTGTTCAATCACACACTAACTCAGGGACACGATGCTCAACTTTTCCCCACAGGTTACCACACTGACAGACACATTCAAAGGCAATAATCTAATCATAGTTGATCGGGTAAACTCATGACTCATGTTTTTCCTTCACAGTTTACCCAGAGATAGAGCTAGACGCCTCCTGTAAGGACACGGTGTACGCTCGCGCCAACCAGAACGTGCGTCTGCCCGTCTACATCAAGGGACGGCCGGACCCCAAAATCATGTGGTCCAAGGAAGGCAAGGACCTGCCTGGACACATCACTATTGAGAAACTCGCCATTGGAGAGGTACGGTGTTCCTACTGCTACTGCTAAAATCACTGAATCAGACGTTCCTACTGTTACTGTTATTGTTACTGCTGCTAAAAACCATTGATTTAAACCAAGTCTAGCATTGAGAAACTCACCATTGGAGAGGTACGGTGTTCCTACTTCTACTGCTAAAATCACTGAATCAGATGTTCCTACTGTTACTGTTACTGCTGCTAAAAACCATTAAACAATTCTACCATTGAGAAACTCGCCTTTGGAGAGGTACGGTGTTTCTTCTGATGCTAAAATCAGTGAATCAAATGTTCCTACTGTTACTGTAACGGTTACTGTTGCTAAAAACCATTACACCAATTCTACCATTGAGAAACTTGCCATTGGAGAGGTACATTTTTTCCTTCTCAGGCTCTTTTTGTCATGGAAGACAACCTACAGCTTTCTCTGCTTCTGTCAGTAACTGAGCATTGCTCTCTGCAGTTCTTGTGTATGATATTCCTAGTGCTGTTAAAAATCATTAATACCATTCTAGCTAGTTCTTGACTAGATACATGGTGCTGCTAGATGTTTTGACAAAAGTGACTGACATGTGATTCAAATATGATTGACACATAATTGACATGTGATTGACACTTTTTTGGACACATATTTGACACATGATTGACACACAATTGTCCCACATTTGACACATGATTGACAAATGATTGACACATGAATGACGCAGAATTGTCCCACATTTGACACTTGATTAACATATGATTGACACATATTTGACACATGATCAACACATGATTGACACATGATTGACACATGATTGACACCTGTAATGGTACCTTGTAGGTGCTGAAGATGAAGGTGAGCCGTCCTGACAGCGGCCGCTACACCGTGCAGGTGTCCAACGTCTGCGGGGAGGTGTCCAAGAACATCAACCTCGTGGTTCTGGGTAAGCATTCAATATTTGCCTTCCCTTTTTAACCAGTCAAGGTACCCTTTTTAACCAGTCAAGGTGCCCTTTTAATGTCCTTTAGAGTTGTATTGGCTACTTGCAGAATAAGGTTGCAGAGAGTTACATTTACTTCTTCAACAAAGTACATTTGCCATGTAGCTTGGTAGATTGACACAATGTCCAAATGAGAATTTCAGAAATGGAGAAACCTTATAAACTACAGATTTTACTGCAATGTGAATGTCTCACCTTTTTTACAAACTTTGACTTTATTGGGATACACAATTAGCTTCAAAAACTGAAGTAACTGTATGGCTACCAATGTTCTATTTAGTTGTGAGGGAGCAGGGAGCAGGGAGAAGGTAAGAAAGCTAGAAAAAAAGCAGAAACATACAATGTAAAAGTCTAGCCTTTTACACACCAAAGTAGCAGTTTGGCTACCAATTCCTTATTGGTTATGGGGTTAGGCAGCAGGGCTTTTAGGAAAAGAAGAAAAATGCAGAAAAATAAATACAATGTACGTGTCTACTGAAGTGCCTGGGTACCAATTCTCTATTGGTTACAGGGTTAGGTAGCAGGGAGAAGGTTAGGAAAGCTAAAAAAAATGCAGAAACATAGCTGCTATAATGTAGATGTCCCTCATGATCAAGGATACAAGGTTAGGGAAATGTAGAAACAATAACTAACATTGTGTAATCTCTCCCCCAGACCGCCCCGGCCCTCCGAGGAACATTGTGGTGAAGTACGTGAAGAAGGACTCGTGTGCCCTGAACTGGGACATTCCCGAGGACGACGGCGGCTCCCAGATCACTAACTACATCGTGGAGCGCCGCCTGCCCAACGAGAACCTGTGGCGCAACGTCACGTCCAACATCCGGTCTCGTGTCAGCAAGGTCGGTATCTAATTGTGACCCTTTCAATTTTGATTTTTATGTTTACCTGAGGAAAACATATTGTTTTTGCTACGTTTCCTCCTCTTCTTCTTCTCCAAACACTGACCTCTGACCTGGTCAAATGACTCTCTCACTATCTTTCACTATGGTAACTGGTGTTGGGTTACATCTTGTTGCAATTTTATAGTAGGAGGGATTTATACAGTGTATTTTAGTAAGAATTAACAGAGCAGATCATATGCGAAGGTAAACATTATGCATTTGCTTTGCAAATGTTACTTTTCTAGTTTAATTTTATCAAAATCAATCAACATAGCAGGAGTAAATAGTACTCCTGAATTGTGTCAACTTTAGATGTTGGATACAAGAAGAAACACATGGCAATTACATACATATGGATACACGAATAGGACATGGAACATGAAAAACACTAAGCCTGCATTTGACTATTGTACACAGTCAGTCGTAGTAACTGCTGTCACTCCTTTATGATGTTCTATAGATGTAGAAATTTTTCCTCGATGGTACATTGTATATACTAAGCTTTTAAATTCAGATCTTTTGAATGTATCTGTACATGTAAGTGTTTATTACCACCTTTTATTGTAATATGATGATACCAATATGGTTATGTTTTGAGTAAGATCATAGTACTGTACTAAATCAACAGTTCAGCCTTCAGGCTGCGAATGATTTACATTTTGATAAACCTTTCATTATCATCCTCCTGCAGGTCACGGGTCTGAACGAGGGTTACAGCTACTTCTTCCGTGTGAAGGCAGAGAACAAGTACGGCATCGGCCTGCCGGTCGAGACCACTGAACCTACCCTGGCTGCAGATCCTATTGGTACGACCCAAAATCTACCATACTTCAAATAGGCATTAACTTCACATAACAAGGTTCCTTTCAAGTAATGGTTACTCATGGAATTAACTGGTGCTCAGTAACTTTCTTCAGATCTGTGTCCACATTTTTGTTAGAACGTAAAGGCTTTGATACTGGTTCATGTACAACAGACATAGAAATTAACTTTACTGATTGCTAATCTTGACACACCTTAAAGTATTATCACTAAAAAACTGCAATACAACTGTATATCATGCAGAATATCTTTAGGTCAAAAGAAATCTTATATTCAAACTTAAAGGGAACATGATCAGAAGAAAACACTAATTTGAAAACAAGACCTAGTATGATTCCAAACATAACAAAATGCGATTTATAACAATTGGTCAGAAAGCTGAGGAAGACCCTATGGTTTGGTGAAAATCTTTGTTAACTCTTGGAGAACAGTTTGAAGTTTGTGATAAAACATGATACATAACCCTGCCTTTTTCCCCTCCAGACCGTCCTACTGAACCACGTGACCTGGAGGTCACTGCCGTGACCAATAACAGCGTGTCGCTGAAGTGGGTGAAGCCGACGTATGACGGCGGCAGCCCACTCACCACTTACCTGGTCGAGCGATGCAGGTGTGTGATAACGAGATCTGAAGGAATTTTAAAGAACTAAGTACTATATTTAATACATTCAATAAGTCTTCATTCGCATGTTCACGCCGATGAGACTAAATGCATACTGATGATGTTAGATGTGTATGAATACTGAATGACGTAGTAATAACTTAGAGATAAAAGGATAAAAGTATAATTCAAAAGACACCTTCCTCAGAGCTTCTGACTGGAGCCCTGCTTCTCGCCACTATTTGAAGCAAATGTAGGTGGCACTTTTGCAGCAAGAACACATCCCAAATGTGGCTAAGTTTGTATCCCCCACCTGAACTCCAGTCAGAAGCTCTGTGACGAAGGTGTCTGATAGATATTGAAACATAAGCAGATGAGAGACAGTACGGGTTGTGTAAGAAGAAAATCCCTATGTCCTACCAACCTGATGAAATTATATTTTTAAAAATAAACTTGTTTTTTCCATCACCACCCCAGGCTTGGTGAGTCTGACCACACCCGCATCAACACAGATGACCTGTTGGAGACGGAGTACACCGCCACTGGGCTCAACCCTGGGGCTAAGTACGAGTTCAGGGTCAAGGCCAGGAACATCCGATACATCGGACCTCCCTCCACACCTACGCCTTTTATCGAGGCAAGGGATGATACAAGTAAGGAGCACAGTTTTTTCAAAGATTGAACAAGGAAAAAAACAACTTTTCTACAAGTTTTAGATTCAATTTTCTATCACAATAATTAAGTAAGCACAAGTATTAAATGTTAGCACTGCACATTGAATTTTGATTTCATACTATTTTAAGTAGTTTCAAATTGAAATTTTAAAAAAGTAATTTCCAGCCATGTCTGTCTGTAATCTTCCATATGTAGCAAAGACTGTAGAATGCTTTGATTTCCATTAAGTGCCACCCTGTAACATTAGAACTTGCAGGAAATTGTACAATGATTATCATGCTTTAGGTACATTTGAATATGACATTGTCATCCTAAACGCTCCTTTTTTTTCCTTCCCCAGAACCACCAAAGATCGAGCTTGACCTGCGGCTGCTGGATGTGCTTGTGGTACGGGCTGGTACCAAGGTGCACCTGGAGGGGCGCATCTCAGGAGTACCGCTGCCCGCCGTCAAGTGGTCCCGTGGCGGCAAGGAGATCGCTACCAGCGACCACTACGAGGTACTTCTTAACGTTCTAACTTATATCTTTAAAGTTTTTTACACACCTGAGTGTGGTTATATGTCAGTGAAGGTTAGACATACAGGTAATAAGATATGCCAAAAAACAGTTACTCAAGCAAGGATATTGCAACCAGAAATCACTACGAGGTACTTGTTATTGTTTCATTTACATTAAATCTGGGTCCCATTTTATTAAAATCTGCCTTCTATGGAAGGTCTGAAATGTCCAGTGACTCAGTTGTAGGAACCACTACGAGTTTAGTGTTCATTTTTTGCCTCAGGCTTGTGGCCCATGTCTGTACAGATATACGTATTATACTTTCAACACTATCTGTGTCCTACATGAGTAATATCCACATACCTAGTACACCTTTTTGATGGTTTTTGTCTCCCTGATTGTACTTATAATCAGCTTTTTAGGAAGCCTAAAAACAGTATGTCATGTACATTTTCTCAAAATCTGGTTCTGGCTTTTTAAAAAATCTGTCTTCTATGGAAGGTCTTAATGGGTCCAACAACTAAGTTGTAGCTACTTATAATCCAGTATTTATTATTATTATTAAAAGCAGATTATTAAAAGCCACCTTGACCATGTATTCTCCAGGTTACCACTATTGACAAGGAGACCTGTCTTACACTGAGATCTGCCAGGAGACGTGACACAGGAAGCTACGATGTCAACGTCACAAACTCAGCTGGCGCCATGAACGCAACGGCCAAGGTCATCGTGCAAGGTCAGTTTCATGACTTCTACCCACATGTACATGTATTGGTGTACCTACATGTGAAGAGTCGTTATTTGGAGGGCTAGCTTCTCTCTCCTTGCATCCAAGGGCTGAATATTGTGATGAGCTTACGATTATTGGGGCTTAATTGCAAGGGTCTGGAGCGGCTGCTACATGGTGACCTCAATACAATCCCAGGTGCGGCCATTGAACTGTAAGGTTTGAAATACTCACACTGGGAAGGTCCCCTATGATCTAGCGTTCTCCTTTGAAGCTAAATGTTCATAAAACTATTGCTGCTAATGCCCCACAGATGTGCCTGGCGTGACAAACCCATTGGCCCACTGAATATCTGTGAGATGACACACATGTACTTAGTGTTGACTACTCCTACTATTGTTCTTCCTAAAACAAAAGTACACTGGCATCTTCTTTCTACCACCAAGACTTCTGCTTGTAGCTAGAACTTTGAAACTTTGCTGTAAACCAATGATTAGCCAGGAGTGTTACAACCCAGGCTATTGTTTACATTAGCACATGATAGAAAAAAAAAACTATGCTGTAACACCCCCCAGATGTACCCGGCCCGCCGGTCGGCCCGCTGAAGATCCGTGACATGACGTCGGAGTCAATGACGATCGAGTGGAAGATGCCTCACGACGACGGCGGCGCGGAGGTCACGTCTTACCTGGTGGAGAAAATGGACACCAAGATCGGACACTGGTTCCCCGTGGACACAACCGTCACTAAGTTCTCCCTCAAGGTGAGCAAGGCCTCAGCATCTTTGTTTCTACATTAGATTACCTTTGCAGAAGGAAGACATACTGTTTTTGCTCTGTTTCTTCTTCTTCTTCCCTTCCAAACAATGGCATGGAAGAGATATCTGTCACCATAACTGAGAGATAAGTAATAATAACTGTACTTTATTGCCATACAAAGGGGTACACAAGGATCAAATTTTAATGACCACCATTGCCTTCATCATGATAAGTAATGACCAATAAGAAGGTATTTCAACCGTAATCCATTGTGGCCCAAAGGTTGGCAGTATTGGTTTAAACAGTGTTGAGAATGAAAATGCCATATACTTATAATTAATTAATTCCTTCATTTTTTCATGTTCCGCAGGTGACCCAGCTGATGGAGGATCATGAGTACCAGTTCCGCATCCGTGGCAGGAACAAGATTGGCCTCGGCGAGCCGTTTGTCTCCAAGCCAAGGATCGCCAAGAGGCCTTACGGTGAGTGGCACAGAAGTACAATGTATGATTCGTTGAGTACATTGGACAGAGAATAATCTTCCCAATTGATTGTGATCAATTTACAAATTACAGATCTGCTGTAAACTTGATTTTTGAAGCCATTGATAGAAGTCCTGGTGGGGAATCTGATAGACTTGCATATGGTGACTTATGCATATCAATATAACACATGTATAGAGGACATACAATCAGGAAGTTATGTAGGTGATCAGGCCCTAAGAAACTGTTTGATGTTCGTATACAGCATCTTACTTGTTTGGACTTGCTGAAATCCATACTTGTGTAAATGTCTCTCTTCAGTGAGAGAGCCACAAATTAGTTCCTGACGGTGAGAGATTGTGATATGCTGGCAACTAAATTCCATACTTGTATAATGTTTCCCCAGACCTCCCCGGCCCACCGTCTGCGCCCATTGTGCACACGATCTTCCCCGACAACGCCACGCTGATCTGGCAGCCGCCGGAGTCAGACGGAGGCAGCGAGATCTCACGCTACATCCTGGAGAAGAAGGACATCAACAGGTGGGGAACACAGCTTCTAAATGATGAAAATGCTTGTAATTGTATTAGGATTAGGTTTGAGTTTATTGGAATCCACACTTAGGCCACACCGATTTAATTTGTTGGTTCTCGGATTTTTTCAGAAAAAATATGAAGCGACAGGGCAAAAAAAAATAAAAATAAAAACAGGTCTAGGCATCCTATTATAGGCTTAAATGCTACAAAATGAGCCATGAAGTCAACATAAAAAGCCAGGTTAAAATTTAAACATTGAATTTTGAACTTTTAATCAAACCACTGCAATGATAGATGGGAAAACTGTAACAACTAGGAAGAAAAGGACTTTCCTCAACTGTTGGGGGCAAAACATTTTTCAGTTGATTCAGGACCAGAATCAAATTTTTTTTTTTTGCACATCAGAAAAAAACGAAGAGGCAAATCCGAGAACCAACAAATTAAATTGGTGTGGCCTTAGTTAGAAAGTCCAAATTGGAGCTAACTATAGTTCTTGCTTGGCAGCTATAATATCAGTTCTGACAGACATCAACAGGTAAGGAAGACAGCTTGGAAGTTGAGCCGTGTTGGTAGAAGTCATTATGAAACAAGTTTGAACTGTGATTTCCAACACAAGAAATTGGACTTTCCCAAATTTTATGCAGTCTTGTCAGTTCTGTGCATAGAAAGCTTCCTTCTTGCTGAAACTAGTAGAAGATTTCTAAGCCAAATGGCTACTTCGGTGTGCTGAAAGTAAGAGCAATGAAAGGAACTAAATTCCATGCTAGAAATAGCTTACATTGGCCATAAAGTAGCTGATTACTGATTAGTAAAATGTTTTAAATGATTCCAGCATCAAGCTGTCCTTGGTGCTGAAAAGGTGATACTTGCTAACTTGGGATGCCAGCAATGAAAGGAATGCAAGAATATAAATCCATTGCTAGATCTATCTTATACTGACAATAATGTACATGTAGTTGATACCTGATGAGTGAAAGTTAATGTTTTAATTAAACGTTTCCAGCATCAAGTTAGTGTGTGCGGTTGAGACCATCAGCAGAGAACTTTTCATCAGGCTGTTGTATCGTTGAATGTTATATGTCCTTGGTGCTGAAAAGCTGATAGTGCTAAAGTTTGGAATAATGTAGCTGATAACTGAGGAGTGAAATGTTTTAATTAATTATTTCCAGCATCAAGTGGGTGCGTGCGGTGGAGACCATCAGCAGTGACACGCGTTACAACGTGCCGAACCTGGTGGAGGGGATGGAGTACCAGTTCCGCGCCGCGGCAGAGAACGCTGCCGGCCTGGGCAAGTTTGGACCCCCGTCCACGCCTGTCATCGCCCGCGAGCCTATTGGTGAGAACTTTTCATGGGACTTTTTGTGTCACTGCTCACTGAAAGTTATACACAGTATGAACTCAGTTTATTTTGACTATTCATGTATGAATGGATAGCTAATGTCTAGGCTAACTCTTAGTGGGTAGTGTGAAAATCTACTATCAGGTGTACAAAATTAATGTTAGTCTTGAACTTGGTGTGCTGAGGGTTTTTTTTGTTTGAGCCATGAAATACTTGAAACAGCCTACTAGCCAATTATATAATCAAATAACATTTAATCTTGCTCTAGATCTCTAGACCTGCCTGAAAATGCACTGAGCACCATTCGCTTATTTTTCATTGGGCTTCAACATTACAATGGAAGGTATGGCAGGACATTAAAGAAATTATACCTCTTCTGAACTTGAACATGAAACCTTGCTCTTTTTCCCAGACCTGCCTGACCCGCCGGTGACCCCGAAGTGCGTGGACACGACGCGTTCCTCGGCGACCATCGCCTGGAAGAAGCCGATCCTGGACGGAGGCAGCGACATCGTCGGTTATCTGGTGGAGTACCGCGCCGCCGACAGCGAGAACTGGGAGATCGGAACTCCCAAGATCCACACACTGCAGTTCGTGGTGACTGAGCTCACGGAAGGTATGTAGATATTGTCTGTGGGGGAATGCATCTATAGCAGCTACACCTGTGCTGCAGTGCAATGTGAACCAGTCAGAATTGCACTGAGGAAGGTGACAGACGGTCATCAAAATGTTGGCTGAATAAAAGACGTGGTTGTGTGAAACTATTCACGGATGCTTATGGAAGGTAGCTAGAAGACAGTCACTATGTCTTATAAGTTAGCAAAATCAATGTTGAATGCACCTGCATTCTGAAGCTGGTTGCTCAGCATTCCATTCATGAAATCCGACAGATATAGGAATAGCCCGATCCCATACCTGGCAAGACTGTTAAATATGATGTAGATTCCATATTCTTTTATTTCAAGGGAGATGCTCTGATTGTCCTGTACTCTATGTTGTTTATATCTCGGCCTAAGAGCATGCAAATCAGTCAAACAACATTGTGGACTGCATTGTGGCTTTGGTATGTCTTTTATGTGAATTAATAAATCTCCTATATCTATATCAGGAGCGGAGTACTACTTCCGGGTCAGCGCTATTAATGAGGCTGGCGTCGGTCCGCCTGGAGACTGCCCCGGGAAGGTGCTCATCAAGGATATCCTGGGTACGAGAGCCTTTGTTTAAACTATTACAATTTATTTTTCCCTACTTCATACATCATGAGTTTAGGGAAACGTTTGATCATGAAACATGGTTACCACTGTAAGAAGAATACCCTGGCTGTCACAGTAAAATATAAAGTTCAAAAGATAGCCAAGGTTTTGCTCCATCAAAATCTTTCAAAAGCTGAAGAAGGTAAAACACATACAAGGTGAATACATAATCTAAATCTTCTTGAAAATCCTATTTGCTTCATATTTACATAATGCTTTCATTGGATAACCATTAGAATAAATGCGATTTACTCTTGCTAGAAAACAGTATGTAAATGCATGATTACACTACACACACAGGTGGTAGAATATCTCTAACCTTCCCTTGTTTAACCCCCATGTACAGCCTCCCCAGACTTTGAGCTGGATGCTAGTATGAAGAAGACCCTGACTGTGCGTGCAGGACAGCCCATCCGCATGTACAATACAAGATTAAATACACTACACACACAGGTGGTAGAATATCTCTAACCTTCCCTTGTTTAACCCCCATGTACAGCCTCCCCAGACTTTGAGCTGGATGCCAGTATGAAGAAGACCCTGACCGTGCGTGCAGGACAGCCCATCCGCATGTACAATACAAGATTAAATACACTACACACAGGTGTTAGAATATCTCTAACCTTCCCTTGTTTAACCCCCATGTACAGCCTCCCCAGACTTTGAACTGGATGCCAGTATGAAGAAGACCCTGACCGTGCGTGCAGGACAGCCCATCCGCATGTACAATACAAGATTAAATACACTACACACACAGGTGTTAGAATATCTCTAACCTTCCCTTGTTTAACCCCCATGTACAGCCTCCCCAGACTTTGAGCTGGATGCTAGTATGAAGAAGACCCTGACCGTGCGTGCAGGACAGCCCATCCGCATGTATGTGTCCATCAGCGGCCGCCCGCAGCCCGAGATCCACTGGGAGAAGGAAGGACAGCCGCTAGACTACAGGGCGGAGGTATGGGTTTGCATTTATTATGTTTCATTCTTTCAAAATAAGAAATCTTAGCTACATTGTACTTACATGTACTAGCTAGACTACAGGGCGGAGGTATGGGTTTGCATTTATTATGTTTCATTCTTTCAAAATAAGAAATCTTAGCTACATTGTACTTACATGTACTAGCTAGACTACAGGGCGGAGGTATGGGTTTGCATTTATTATGTTTCATTCTTTCAAAATAAGAAATCTTAGCTACATTGTACTTACATGTACTAGCTAGACTACAGGGCGGAGGTATGGGTTTGCATTTATTATGTTTCATTCTTTCAAAATAAGAAATTGTACTTACATGTAGCTAGACTACAGGGCGGAGGTATGGGTTTGCATTTATTATGTTTCATTCTTTCAAAATAAGAAATTGTATTTACATGTAGCTAGACTACAGGGCAGAGGTATGGCTACTGATTTGTTGCATTAATTTTACAGATACACAAGCAACAGTGAAAATTGATTGGCATACAGTATCTGACTTACTACTAGTATTCTTCAAGTTTTTGTCACTATGTAGGCTTTATTCTATTGCTTCATTAATTGGTTTGGCAGTGAAAACACACAGCCAGGGCTGCTCAACTACATGTAACTGTGGCTATTACAAAGGGCTAGCCCAGCTGGCTAACAAACTACAGAATTTAGCAGTGCTGTTGGTTGAATCAACTTCAGTTCTTACAAAGCCACGTCACATAAAAATTATTCAAACAGTCATCACAGAAAGGCAATCATATAGTATTAAACATAACCTGTTGTGATTCATAATTATGCCACTTCTATACAGAAAGACAATATTAAACCTGTTGTGGTTGTTATGTTCAGGTGGAGAACACCGAGTACTCCTCCCAGCTGGCTATCTACAACACAAACCGGTACGATGCCGGACGCTATGACCTGATCCTGAAGAACGCTGTCGGAGAGAAGACGGCATCAGTCAATGTCAAGGTGTTCGGTAAGGGGAGCTTTCAACTTGTCTTCTGTAACAGTGTGGTCGCTTGTAACTGTTTTATGATATATACTACAGAGATGCCATAGAAATGTCTACAATATAAGTGGAACTTTGGTTGCTGTAACAGTTTATTCACATCGACATGAAATGTGACCATAAAATGTCCAACAATGTCTCTTCTGTTTCCTGTCTTGCTTGCTACAATGTATTTTGGATCCTTCATATCCTAAGTTACAATTCCCGACTGGGAAGTTTCTGTATGAAAAGGATGATATAGAAGAAACAAAAAATTAACCTTAAGCACTATTTGTGTATATTCTTGGTATGAATTGTTTATTTTTTGTTCACACAAACAACCTGGCCTGGCCCCAGTTTGAAAATAAATGTGACCTTAGCATTGACAAATGCGCAAGCTTGTTTAAGCTGCACAACCATAACCTGATGTCTTCCCCCCTGTAGACACCCCCGGCCCACCTGGCCCCATCGCTATTAAGGAGGTGTCAAAGGACCACATGGTGATCACCTGGACCCCGCCCACCGTGGACGGGGGTAGCGCGGTGTCGAATTACATTGTGGAGAAGCGAGACGAGAGCCGTCGCACCTGGACAACCGTTACTACCAACAACCCCAAACTGTCCTGCCGTATCCCCAACCTGGTGGAGACTGTTACCTACTTCTTCCAGGTTCGTCACACACCTTCTTCTTTAAACTTTCTTCTTTCATTTTGAGGCAGCCACCTTTAAGTAGCTGAAGATTCTGCTGCCTTTTTGTGGCTCATACAAGATGGGGTTTGCCAGGCCTCCATCCAGGAAAGTTGTGTAACGTGCCTTTCACAAGGACGCAAGATCAGTGACATGGAAGGGTTCGAACCCGGGACCTCTTGGTTCTGAGCTGAACGCTCTGTCGTTATGCCACATGACCTACTTGGAAAAGTTTTACAGTTTCCAAAATCTATTGAATTGCTTGAATAACTGTTTTCTTGTGTTACTTCTTCCAGGTGTTTGCTGAGAACAAGTACGGCATCGGCGAGCCGTCCGAGTCCATGCCTGCCAAGGCACAGGACGCAGTCGGTGAGTTTGTTTGAGCTTTGTTTATTCGTGTGAAACAACTAGGGGCAAGTAGAATAATAATTTAAACCTGCTGGACTCATATCTTTCTTTCATGCTCACAAAATACACCAAATAACCAGGCTTCCATGTTTAGATTTTCTACACTTTTTCAAAGCTGCAACTGCTGCTTAACTTCTGCCTTGCCTTAGTTTCTTTTATGGTGCTCAGAAAAATTCATTGGATGATGAATTTCCTTTCATAACTGCAATAAATAACCAGGCTTTCATAGATTTCCTACACTTGAATATGAAACCGGCTATGTAAAACTCCCATGCCATAGGCTCTAACAACCAGGTTGCCATTCCCTGTTGTTGACCTCTGCCCTGGCATGCCCTGATCCTAACTCAGCGGCATCTCATAAGGACCCCTGCCCTGGCATGCCCTGATCCTAACTCAGCGGCATCTCATAAGGACCCCTGCCTTGTGGCAGGAGGTTCGACCAGGGTGCCCAGAGCAGGCTTGCCTCTCCTGAGTTCAAACATGGCAATATGGTTGTTCCCATGGCGATACAGGAGAAACAACTCGGTTGCTGTTTGTGTTTGACAGTGTATAAAGCTCGCACTGAAGCATAACATACTGTGCTCAATAATACCATGCTATCTATCTATCTATCAGATCTGATCTTCCATTGCTTTTAACACAATATAGCCTCATCTCTGAGTGTTGGCACTACTTTTTGATTGCTACTAAAGTCCTGCACTGCACCAGTTTGCCTTTACTTTGTCCCATCCAGGCATTCTCATAGTTGCTTTGAGCACCTGAGAATTTCCTATTCTTTCCTGTCTCTGGTTCTGTGTGCATTCAGCCAGCAGTTTTCACATGTAGTTAGATATCACATTGCCCTCCCCCCTACCGCTGAATACTTGTCACAGTTGATTCAACAAACATGCACTATGTAGTGTATTGCTGTTGTACTAACCAAATGTTCCCTGTTGTAATCCCCAGGCCCACCCGGCCCTGTAGTGAAGCTACACGTAGCTGACATCACCCGTATCACGGCATTCCTGGAGTGGACCAAGCCCACCTTCGACGGAGGGTCAAAGGTCACAGGTTACGTGGTGGAGACCCAGGAGGCGGGAAGTATCGAGTGGGACAAGGCCGGTGTGGCGACCGAATGTCACTACCAGGTCAGGAAAATAGAGACATGTTTGCAACATGTAACGAGACTGTGGTAACAAAATGGGCGGACTAGAGACAGCAAATCTCATTTCTTGAAATTTAGGAAACGCTACATGTAAAACAAAAGGACATATAGCTTGCTACAAACCATCATGGTTTCAAGGCATGTTACAATACTGGCAGTAGGAGAAATATCAGTAACTTTTATATGCATGATATTAAACTGCACATCAACATATATATTCAAATCAAACTACATGTATGATAAAAGAAATAATATTATGTAAAGGAAGACCTTGTTCATGATTTTGTTGAAATGCAACTATTGAATTCTTTCCTCAGGTCCTTGGTTTGACCCCTGGACATGGGTACCGCTTCCGGGTCAAGGCCCAGAATGCCGCAGGGCAGGGTGACCCGACCGACACAGAGATACACAAGGCACAAGACGAAAAGAGTAAGAAAACAGCCATGCAACATACTTGATAATACATCCAAGTCCTTCAACATTTTATTGCTTAGACAATGCTAAGAAAAAGAACAGAATTAGCACAAACTAGAAAACTTCTGTTCCAACCCTGAGTCATTTGTATGGTAGATAAGAATGAACAGTTAATCTTTGGAATCTCGATGATCTTTCATACAAAATTAGTCTGATGTTGCTAGAATATTCCTGGGGTTTTAAAAGAACATATCATAACAAATTTGTGTTCTTTTGTTGTTCCACAGTTGCACCCAAGATTAACCTGGACGTGACAATGCGTGAGACAGTAGTGGTGAAGGCTGGACACACACTGACCATCTATGCTGGCATCAGTGGCAAGCCTGTACCACACACACGCTGGGCTAAGGTGGGGCTCAGATTCAAATTATTCTGGCATGTTACAAAAATTTAATGTGACAATGCAACATGAATCTGTTGAAACTTGCAGTAAAATAATTGTCACAGCATAATATAAGGTTACAAACAATTAGACACATTAAAAGTGAAAAATGTACCCAGCTAGTTAAGGTATACTTCAATTACACAAAAGAAAGGACATTTGACTTGTAAACCAAAAAATTGTAGGCATCCTTCCATCTTGAAAGAAACATGGGGAAACAGAAATGAACAATCTTCCATCACTCCCATCACTAGAGGCAACGGTTGTTGCTAAGAGAATTTGCTGGACAGGTGTTTCATATTCTAACTTATTCTCCCCGACTCCCAGGATGGTGCTATGATGAAACCAGACAGGCGTCTCCTGTTTAAGAAGTCTCACACGGAGACGAGGTTCAGTCTTAAGGAGGTGACTCGTAACGACGCGGGAACCTACGCACTCAGGGCCTACAACGACGCTGGCGAGAAGACAGCCAACGTCTTTGTCAAGGTTCTTGGTAAGAAAATCTTCTTAATTCTGTTCTAAATTATCTATTTATTTGTCATTTTCAACTGTATTCATCATGAGCATTAGTCAGTATTCAAAACTTTGACAAAGTTCTTGGTAAGGAGGACTCTATCACACCTTTTCTACCTCAAGTGCTTTTCTAACGATGTTAAGAATTCGATTTTCTGGTGCATCATAAACTGAACCTTCAATATAGGTAACAGGTCTTGTAGAAGAATGTGACACGATGAAATATATTATCCAGTCAACATGTGTACATGACACAATGTTGCAAGCATTCAAACAGAATAATTGTTGTTCAGTACTGTTGGAAACATCACAATGCAGGTTGAAGCAGTGAAAACAGATTCTAAAGTCTGGGACAATCACTCATGATCTTTATTCGCATTCAGATTCATGTACAGATACAGATTCATGTTTTTTTACACAGATACAGATTCATGTACAGATACAGATTCATGTTTTTTTACACAGATACAGATTCATGTACAGATACAGATTCATGTTTATTTACACAGATACAGATTCATGTACAGATACAGATTCATGTCTATTTACACAGATACAGATTCATGTACAGATACAGATTCATGTTTTTTTACACAGATACAGATTCATGTACAGACACTATATGAATATACAGATGATTTCCTCAAAACTGATGACCGCCCTTTCTGCCCCCAGACAAGCCCGGCCCTCCTGCCAGCCTCCAGATAGACGAGGTGACGGCCGACTCCGTCAGCATCTCGTGGCGCCCGCCCACCGACAACGGCGGCGTGGAGGTCAACAACTATCTTGTTGAGAGGTCAGGACAGATCTTTAACTCTTATGTCTTAGCAGCTTTTACTTCTTCACATGTAAGACCAATGTGCAAGTCTAAGAACATCCAATTTTGTAAAACTATGATGCAGATAGCTCTTGCTAGCTCTTTTACATAGTAATGCATCTATTAGGCCTTTCACAAGCCTGAGAGCTAATTTTGTAAAACCACGCTACAAACAGCACTACATGTAGCTGTGCTACCTACACATATGGCAAAGGCCAAATGTACAAGCCTAAGACCTCTTTTGCAATCTTGTACAACTATGCTGTAAACCTGAAAAAAGGGACGTAGTCTTGTGACACTTCCACACATACAAATCTTGATGCACAAGTCTTACTCATTAGCTTATGAGCGCCTAAATCTCGAGATATATTTCATTTAGAGCTAAAAAATCAAATAATTATAAAATTTTTCTTCCGTCCCCAGATGCGACGTCCAGCGCGGCGTGTGGCTGACCGTGAACGCCAACGTGACCAGGTTCATGTTCAAGTTCCCTGACCTGATGAAGGGTCGTGAGTACGCCTTCCGCGTCATGGCCGAGAACAGGATCGGGGTGGGAGAGCCCGCAGCCACGGAGAAGGTGGTGGCCAGGGATGCTATCGGTCAGTATAGTACTTAAATTATCTCCTAGCATTTTATATTGTCTTAACTGTTGATGCCTCATGTACAAATGTATATCACAGGTTTTCTCATAGCAACAAAATATTGAAGGACAGAGAATTGAGCAGTTCATGCTTTTATACGTTGACAATGTGTTGAGAGAAGTGATGTAACTTAAATTTAATGAATAAAGGATACAGGTTAAGTTGTTCTTAAAATGTAAACTTGTACTATGTACTTAGGCAAGCCCTAGCAAGAGATTGTGACCTTTTTTTCTGCTGGTCTCTCGATATTATTTTATCTGCCAACCAAAAGAATAAGAATACTGTCTACTGTGATTAGAATGACCAAGGAGAGCTTTGCCTGTACAATGTCATATACACACTTTTAATCACTGTCACTGTCCCTTTATCCCCCCATGCAGAGCCCCCAGGTCCGCCCTCTGCGCCTGAGATCACAGAGATCTGTAAGGACGCGATCGGGTTCGCCTGGGAGCCGCCCAAGTACGACGGCGGCTCGGCAATCACCGGTTACATCATCGAGCGCCGGGAGAAACAGTCTCGTCGCTGGATCAAACTGAACCGGGAGGCCATCAAGAAGCGGGAGTACCGCTCCGAGGGTCTGCTGGAGGGATTCGAGTACGACTTCCGCATACGCGCAGTCAACCAGGTGGGTAGATGTTACAAATCTTAACTTTAAGGTGTATGTACTGGACATCCTTCTGTTTAAAGATATGTAAGACTCTAAGAATAGTAGCTTTGAGTACAACTAGGTAGGTAGATCATACAAATCTTAAGATGTGCCTTCAACCTGGTCTGTACATCATACAAATCTTAAGATGGATCTGCTAGACTATTTCTATATATCAACTATTTCAGCACCAAGGACAGGCCCATAGGGGAATTCTTGTACAGAAAGAAATGGGGAAAATGCCCTAATGTTATCTTTAGTGGATCAATATGTACAAGGAGGAAACATAAGAGAACTAACTTGACTGTATCTCCCCCCAGGCGGGTACTGGTGATCCCAGTGAGCCGTCTGTGCCTGTACGTGCGGAGGAACAGATCTCACCGCCGCGAAACCTGCGCGTGATCGACTACTCCCGATCCTTTGTCACCATCGCCTGGGAGCCGCCAGAGTTCGATGCTGGCAGCAAAATCCTCGGATACTTCATCTGGAGGTATGGAAACTAAGAAATTCTTGTACTTAGAAAACAGACTGTTTTTTGATACTGGATAGATTTTGCCTGAAGCCTGCAATAGCTAAAGGATGAGCTTTGTAAGGGTTTAAGGGACTAGAGGTGCAAAACATGTGTCTAGTGGCAGCCTAGGCAACAATCTTTCTTCTCCTTTCCCTCAGATGTTTCAGGTCCTTTTGCAGCATGTGTCTAGCTTTGGACATCCCCACTTTTCTTGTCCCTTTGTCAAGTAGCCAGTACAGAGCTGTCTTTCCACAAGCATCCTGAGTACTTTGGTTTCGTTGGTGACTAACCCATAACTCTGTCCCTTCCAGACGTAACATTGACTTTAAGGGCTGGGCTCCGTGTAACGAGAAGATCTGGACGGACCGCCGGTTCCACATCAAGGCTCTGACAGAGAACAAGAAGTACCTGTTCATGGTCAAGGCCAAGAACGCTGCAGGCATGATCAGTCTGCCGGCCACCATCGGGCCTGTGGAGACCAAGGATGAGTTCGGTCAGTCTGGATAGAAATACTTCATTGCATCTTTATTGATTTGTGAATCATGTTTTCCTGTGAACAGCTACATGTACAATGACTGCATGGCTGGTCCATGTTAAGTTCTTGCTATTTGATTTGGCTTGTTGTAAATACAGCTTTTTGCCATCTTCCTGGACACAATATGAGAGAAGAAAAAATTGCAAGGAATGATCTGTATCTTATAATCATTTAGATAGAAACTGATAGAAATTTCTTTGATGTAGATCCTTGCAATGAGACTTATGAAGAGAAGACATCAGTTTGATGTGTAGTACCTCTTTAGAGCTTGCCATACATTGTACCTACTACGATTGTCCTGCAATAAAGTTTGATTGATTGATTGATGGATGGATGGGTTATAGTACATGAAGTTCAAAATCTAACTTTTATGCATGGTATTAATCGTAACCTTTCTGCACCCCCCCTTCAGAGCCTCCCAAGATCCTGCTGTCGGAGACGTTTAAGGACGTGATCACAGTGAAGGCAGGTGAGACGGTCAACGTCAACATCAACTTCACCGGCCGGCCGCGCCCCAGGGCGACATGGGAGAAGGACGACAGCACACTCACTCTCAGGGTAAGGACAGGTCTTGGGTCTTTCTGAAATTTAAAGGCTTAGATCTTTAAGAAACTTAAGTTTGGGTAGAGGTAGGAAATGTCAAAACATGAAAATAAAAGGAAAATTAACTCAGACTCTGGCGTTGCTATTTCATTATATGTTTTGCCAGTTGCACTTCTTTCCTACTATACCATAGATGTATTTACACAGACATAAAAAGTTTTCAAACTTCAAGGATTATCATGCAGAGCTGTAATAAGATAATAAAAAGTGACCAATATAATTGACATGAAAAGATGATTGCATGAGCGTGTTGTTTTTTTCACAGAGGCATTCTAGAGATCTAAGAACATTTAGAAACAGAAAATGACAGTAACATTTCTCAGCTTTTTTACCCTGGTCTTAGTATCTTTTAAAGGACCTGACATGATGTTTCCCCTCCCTCCTTAGGACCGTATCCGTGTGGAGACGACTCCTGAGAACAGCCTGCTGACCCTGGAGAAGACAGAACGTGCCGACACGGGCAAATACACCCTCAGTGTCAGGAACGAGGCAGGGCAGAGGAACGCCATCGTACGCCTGATTGTACAAGGTGAGAAACATCATTGAAACAGTTCTTCAGGCATACAGACTTTTTTGGTTAGAAAAATGTCTTGCATTCTTCAAAGTATTATCATTGAAGGCAGCAGAGAACTTTGTAATATTTTGTAAAACTTTTTAATATTAAAAAGGGGCTACTAAGAACTCTTTTCAAAACATTTTAATTATTTGATTAAAATTAACTGAAAGGCAAAGAAACTAGTGCAGGTGAAACTTGCCAGGTGCAGGTAATTTTAAATGTTGCCTGCACCAGTGCAGGCATACAAAAAAAGGATTTCCAGCCTTACTACCTGACAGTGTGTTCTTCCTTGATGTAGATGGCCTCTTAAACACCAGGACAAGCCATCTCCATCTATGTTACATATAAACAAGGCTAGTTCAGTCCCAGCTCACCATGTCTGTTCCTATGTTCCCAGACAAGCCGTCCCCGCCGCAGGCCCCTGTAGAGACCAGTAAGGTGAGCGGTGAGACCTGCATGGTGAAGTGGAAGCCTCCGAAGGACGACGGCGGCAGCCCCATCCACTCCTACATCATCGAGAAGCGTGACACAACGCGACAGGTCTGGACACGGGCAGCCACCGTGGACGCCGGTACGTTTCTCTAACTGAACTTACTAGTATAATGAGTGGTTTATCATTATTTACAATGTACAATGGAAGCCTCCAATGTTGAATGTATCAGGAGACAGAGTGACAAGAGAACTGATGCTAAAGATACTTACTAGTAGCAATAATGGTTTAGGACTTTGTCTTCTTGTGCTTTTAAAGTAACCACTAAAAACAAGAAGATTGTAAAAAGACAGCATGTGTAGCCCTCTTTACCAGTAAATGTTGTTGGATTTAAACCTAAGGATTGCCTGCCCTAAACATTTTGACTAGGAGAGAAACCTCTGTTTTATGCCTTGTGAATCAAATTTGTCTCTGTGTGTTCAAACGTACTGTTTGCATTGGTTATACACTATGATCATGAGTAAAGACAAATATCAACTCTAACGTAATTGTTTTGTACCTGACTCCCCAGGCAAGCTGAGTGCCCAGGTGACAAAGCTGACCCGCGGCCAGCAGTATGTGATGCGTGTGTCCGCACAGAACGCCATCGGCACCAGCGACCCACAGATCGGAGAACCCTTCCTCGCAAGGGACTTCTTCGGTAAGGACAGGGAACTTACCTTAAGTTTATCTCAAATTCTGAGTTTTCCTCAAATTGTGATGTCTAACAGTAAAATAAAATGACAAGAGTAGAGTAGAATCATCCCTCAGCAGTGCAATCATTCCTCAGTAAGACATCTGGAGCCGCAATGATGGTTCACTGTAGCCTTTCCCTTCATCACAAATACGTTACAGTGAAGTTATTTTTTCTCTTTGGCAATAGGGTCAAATTGGTTTAGTTTTTCTTTCAGCTTTTACACTAAACCTTACCTTATGCATAGCAAATGTTTGCCAAGTTTGTTACATGTCTTAACTTATTTGAGCCGAGATTAAGACATCTTGCTTGCCCTTGCAGACGTGCCCGGTCCACCTGGCCAGCCACAGATCATCAAGGTGTGCAAGAAGTACGTTCACCTGACCTGGACTCCACCAATCAACGATGGCGGCAGCAAGGTCACAGGTTACCTCATCGAGAGGAGTGACCTTTGCCCTTCCATCACGACCTTCTGGATCCGCTGCGTGGATGAGGTCATCAAGGACACGGAGTACGTGATCTATAACCTGTTTGAGGGCTGCGACTACGAGTTCCGAGTCACGGCCTGCAACGCAGCGGGCTGGGGCATCCCCAGCGAGGGGTCAGACGAGGTCAAGGTTCGCGACCCTGTCGGTAAGTGGCTAAGATTCAAAGTTGACATTGTCATAATTTTAAGATATAATGATCAATAATATAGTATAAATTTTCAAGCAAGCATCTATTGTACACCTGTTATCTTGTGGAATGCCAATGACAATGCATAAACTGAGAGAAGGAACATTGGGAACAACTCTGTTGTAAGTCACAGTGTTGAACTGCTAAAGGCAATGTGTAGTATATATGGATCTCCTTGTACTAAGATGTGCTGATTCTGCCATTCATGCTAATAGTACCATCTCTGTTGTTAGTCACGGCTAAGAATGTGTGTAGTAAAACTATACAGTCGATCATCAATTACTCCATGTACTATATAATCCTTGCTTATTGTGCTCCACCATACTGTAGCGCCCCCAGTTGCCCCTGGCAGGCCTGAGCTGGTGGAACTGACCAAGTCCTCCATCAAGCTGAACTGGTCACGCCCCTACTACGACGGCGGCAGCCCCATCATTGGCTACATCCTGGAGTCCAGGAAAGAAGGCCAGGAGGAGTGGGCTAGGGTTCACAGGTCAGTTTTTCCTTTCTTGTTCTGCAATTTGTGGCATCTTGTAAACAGTATATTAGTTTGCAAAACTTTTTCTAAATATCTTGCAAAGTAACAATAAAGTTTTAATTTGGAATATACTTGGAACAAATTATTTAAGTGATATGCATACTCACAAAAATACTGAATACTGATTTGAATACTTGGGACATTTATCAGAGCTGACAAGTTTTTCCTTATTTGTCCATTTTTTGTTTCTCTAAATAAATGATATATGTTGTTCTAAAAATTATGTATTATTTTGCATGATATTCTCTGCATATCATTCATAATACTGTAAGTCTCTTTAGATTCGCGGGGCCTAAAGTTCGCGGTTTCGGGAAAATGGACAATCCGCGGTATTTTTAGATTCGCGATTTCTCCTTGGCTATTTTTCAAAGAAAAATTTGTAAAGTGTATATTTAAAATAATAAAAGTTCGTGTTCCGGCATTTATCTCCGCGGCGCAAAAATGTGTTTCGTGCACCGCGCGACACTGCCGGCGGTAAAGCTGACGATCGATCTGACGCACGTGTAAACAATTTTCTTTGTCTAAAATGCTATTTTCTACGACTACACATCGATACTCTAGTTAAGAAATGCATAATCGAAAGAATATATATATTACTAAGCAAATTTATGCCGTCTTCGGCGAGATTTTGAACCCGGAAGTATGCAAAGGTCGCAGTCGGCTTTGTAGGCCCACGGCGCGGTGAGCGTTTCTATCCAGCAAAACAAGAAGAAGAAAAACACGCCCGCAAAGCAGGGCGCAAAAGATAACCAACTAACATTTCCCAGGTACCAGCCGTTATATTTTTCATAAAAATACTTGTAGATATGCCCGATGTTCCCGCAATTTTCAAGCGCCCGGGTGCGCATGGCCAGCGCTCTGCACGCATAGATTTTTTTCGGCGGTACACGGTTGACACGGCCAGTGCCGCAGTATCGCGATTCGGTGTCTCATAATATTATAATTTTTTGACATCAGTATAACTTAAAAAAATTTTGGTACTCAACATTTGCTAAGAATAAAGTTGATTTGCAGTAATTTGTGAATCGCGTGTGTTTGTGTTTCGCTTACCGTCGTGAATGCATGTGGGGAGGGGGACACACTTACGCAAAACATATTCGCGGGGAAATAGATTCGCGGTACAAAGGTCCCCGCGAATGCCGCGAATCTAAATATACCGCGGAAATTTGTAGACTTACAGTAATATGTTTTAAATAAAAAGGTTTTGAAGTTTGCAGATAAAACTGCCTTATTTACATATTTGGTATAAAATTTGCATATCATTTGCATACTTGAGACAGCTTAGATAAGTTTTTCAAAGTGAACACTGTCAGCAGTTCCAACCTGCATTTTTCTGCTACTTTGGGCATTTTTGGGGTAAGTTAGAGATCTAACTCCTCTTAAAGAAGCTTTTTAAGGATTTATGTATTGTTGGGAGTAGTTTTTATCCAGTAGATCTGAATTTCTGAGGAAATTTCAGTCATGGATTGTCAGTGAGTGCCAAAATGCCATACATTGTCCATTTTACTCTTTCTGACAGAAAACTGTTCTTCTATACAGGAATTGATGTAAATTCATCCAACAGAAGCTTGTCAAGGATGAAATGTGTTGTTGAGAGTAGTTTTTATCCACTAAAGCTGCATTTCTGAGGAAAATTTCCTCAGAAAGTTCAATACTATATAGGATGTTAAACAACATTCCATTCAGTTGGATTGTAAACAACTCTGTTGCTAGTCACAAGCTCGTCAAGGATTACAAAGTATTGTTGAGAGTAGTTTTTATCCAGTAAAGCTGCATTTTCTGAGGAAAGAAAGTTCAATACTACAGGGTGTCAAACAACATTCTTGCCGGCAAACAATTCGTTCTTCTATACAGGAATGTGAACAACTCTGTTGTTAGTCACAAGCTTTTCAAGTATTACATGTATTGTTGAGAGTAGTTTTTATCCAGTAAAACTGCATTTTCTGAGAAAAAGTTTGTCAGAAAGTTCAACACTATGACCAACAACTGTCTGTGAAAACACTATTGCTTAATTAGTCTACTTTTCTAACCAACACTGTTCCTTGTGTTTAGGCCTGAGTACATCATCGACCGTGAGTGGACGCTGAAGGACCTGACAGAAGGCACCAAGTACGACTTCCGTGTCTTTGCCCTGAACGATGCCGGACAGAGCGAGGCTAGCGAAAACTCAGGCATCATCGAAGTCAAGGAGATCATCAGTAAGTTCTTACTTCTCTCGTAAATCTTCAAGACCTCATCTTTTCCACATTTCCTGTGGCTTTTGTTAAAATGGCTAAAATATGTGATGTACATAAAATGATACTCCCAAGAATAAGTTTACAGCCGATATGTATAAATATTGAAATAGAATTTTGAACAATTCTTTAAAAAATTACATATCACGTCACACTGAGCATGTTTTGATATTGAAACCTCACAACAGACTTTCTTGAACCAAAACAAGAGTCAGCGGCTTCTTTGGGACATATGAATAATATATTTCATTGTAACACTAAGAATCCAGTAATATTGCTTACATTATGCCCTTCCAAGTACATGTCTATTCAGTAGTGTTGTGAAGATTTTCCAGAGATTTCTAATGTTGTTGTTGTTTGTGTACAGTCCCTGCAGATGTTGAACCTGATGCGAGCCTGTGGCGTACACAGATCGTGCGCGCCGGCACCGCTCTGCGCCTGTTTGTTCCCATCAAGGGCAAGCCTACACCTGAAATCACATGGACTAAGGTAGGAGAAGCATCTGCTTGTCTCTAGTGTTACCACCAGATTCCTATACACGGCAGCCTTTAAGTTTTAACCTTCTCTCTGCCACCTAACACATTGAACAATAAAAATTTGATGTCAAACAGATACCTTAGCAGGCTGTAGATCATGAAGTATATTTGAATCACACATGTTGTAGTGATTATCAAAACTTTATTGCAGAGTAATTGTGCAAGCTAAAATGTATGGCATCCACTGCTAGTATATGTCAAACATTACCTTACAAAGACTACATCATAGTACATTTTGTATAGTATGGGATGAGAATGTGCTCTATCTTACATCATCATTAGGCCATGTTGATCAGTTTTGGGGCTCCCGGAGGATGTCATCCATATAATCAAATCAACATGGCCTTAGTTGATTTTCTAGCATTACAAACACTGTAACATCCATCTGTTAATGTTTATTGTGATTGATTGAATTATTGATCGATTGTTTTTTGTTTGTTCAGGGTGAGGAGAACCTTGAGGAGAGAGCGAACATCACGAACACGGACACAGCGTCTCTGTTCGTCCTGCCCAACATGCAGCGCCTGGATGCAGGGAAGTACTGCATCACCGCCGAGAACAAGGCTGGCAAGAAGTCTTCATTTATCAATGTCAAGGTGCTAGGTGGGTAACAAGGAACAATTCTTTTGATATTCATTGTTTAGAAAAAATCAGACTGAAATTGGAAATTACGTGGACAGAATTGCACAAAAACATTTTTATTATCATTGACTGGAAAAATATTAGCCCAAAATTTTAAAAATGGAATCAGAAATGCAAGATACATGTTGCTTCATTTTATTAGGTAGGAAGATGGCACTTGAAATTCCTGAATGTCATAAAATATTCACTTTATAAGGCAGACATGAACATGCCTTAATGACACACAATTTCATTAAACTTACCTAGTAAATGTGGTTAGTATACTGAAGGCCCCCCTCCCCTCCCAGCTTGGTTTAGGTGTGTATAAATATAAATTCCCTAAGATTTCGACATGTTCTTCTTGACCATCAGGTCCCCCTGGACCACCTGGGCCTATCAAGGTCAAGGACATCACCAAGGACTCTTGCATCATCCAGTGGTCTGCTCCAGATGATGATGGCGGCGCTGACGTCTTCAACTACATCGTGGAGAAGAAGGAGGTCAGGGTCGCGTCTTACCTTGCCCTTCAACTGACCTTCATCACAAACTTCTCAAAATATTCTAAATTCTTTAAATCATTTTTTTAGTTTTGTTTGGGACTGCATCCTTAACTCAGTCATGTTTGGGACTCATCATTTTGTCATAATCCATACATAACAGTGTTCAGTTCATCAGTTTCTCAAACATTGGCAGAGATTTAAGAGAAGGACTGTGAAAGTAAGAAAGCTATGATATCATATAATATCATAAAGTTCATCTGTGTTCAACTTGGTAGTTACATCCTTAGAGTTAAAACTTTTGATCCAACACAAAGAAATTTTCTTACCTAGAGCTTTCAACCAGATACTCTGGTCTTCCTCAGTAGACTAACCTAGTGAAACTTGGCTTCTTTGTTGAATTGACTTATAGCAACGTGGTAAGATTATTTACTGGAGATATAAAAACTGTTCCATCCCCTGCCCCCCCCCCCAGGCCGGCCGTGTTGGCTGGGCCACGGTGACCTTCAAGCAGCAGAAGAACACCTACCGCATCACCAACCTGGTGGAGACATGCACCTATTACTTCCGGGTCATAGGTGAGAACAAGTACGGCATCGGAGAGGCTGTGGAGACAGAGGAGCCCATCTGTGCTCTGGATCCTGTCGGTGAGTTTATCATTATTCTTATTCCAATAATCTCTTTAAATCTTTTGAGGCCAGTGTCTCCTGGTTTAGCTGTCGGTAAGACTATTTTTCGTCAGAGTTGTCCAACAATCTCTGTTGGTGAGCTCATTTTTCTTCAGATGTTTTAAACAATCTCTTAAAACCTTTTGTGCTTCAATAAGGCCATATGAGTTTGTTTCTTTGGTTCTCTAACATTTTAAGGTGAAAATCTAGCAAATCATAAATGTGGAGGGCAGGGAGAAAAACTTGAATATGACAGTGTGTTTTCTGTATGAAGCTGAGTGCCCCAAGGCTTGAAGCTAGACCTCAGACTTTGCTTCCATTATATTTTAACAGTCAAGCATATTTTTTTCAATCAAAGGCAAATGTGGTACTGAATCTGAACGATAAGACACTGAAATATCTGTTTGCTCATTGCTCCATCAGAGCCACCAGAGAAGCCCAAGAACCTGACTGTGGAGGAGGTTACCCCGGCAACCGTCTCCCTGGCCTGGAAGAGACCAGACTGGGACGGAGGCAGCCGCATCAGTGGTTACCTGGTGGAGTACCTCGGTATGTGGAACCTGCTTAACTGTATGAAGTGTGATATTTCTATGTACTATAGGCTGAAACGTTTGGTACCTCTAAATCTCTCTCTCTTTCTATCGCCGGTCCTGAATAAATTGGTCTTACTCGGTTTAAGTATTAAAACATTTAGAAGAAAACACTGTTATCTCACAAGCATCCCCAGAACTGTCGTGCAATTTGCAAAGAGAATTTACAAGATGTTTGCTTAAATGTTGAGTGCTTCAGCATGCTTGAGGGACCTTGGAAGTGAAGTGTGTCACTCTGTGTATGTCTTCTCGTAGCAGTTTCTTTGTGTAGCAAGAAGGGGTGAAGTCTTCCGTATTGGATTCCCTCGTTCATCAGTGTTTTCCAATCATGCGATAAACTTTAAGACAACTTCCTGACGTAACTCTTCATCTCTCCACCCCAGCTCCCAATGAGGAGGAATGGACCAAGGCGGCCACCGCGAGGAACGTGAACTACACCGTGTTCGGGCTGGACCGCGACGCGACCTACCGCTTCAGGGTCACGACCCTGACGGAGCTGTCACAGAGCGTGCCCGCCGAGCTGCCAGAACCAATCACGTGCAAGGAGGAGCAATGTAAGCACAGATGGCTTTTTTCACTTTTTCCACTTCTTACATTAGGCTAAAAATAAATCCTTGTCCAAAGCTTTGTTGCTTACATAGTGAGGGTCAAATTGATGGTAAATTTTCTCCCTCCAAAGTTTCTGATTTTGTTCCCCTACTGCCATTTCCTCAAGTGAATTTAGTTCAAGTTTTTCTTGCATCATTTTGTATTATAATGGTGACATATATTAGTCATAATGATTACTATTACAGACTCTTATCAGTTGAAAACTGATTGTCCTAGAAAACTAACATTGATTTGCTCGAGTGTTTAAGAGACAGAAAATTTAACCTCTGTTGATTCCATACATTTTGCATTACTTCTCCGAAGACTTTGATTGACAAGATGATGTCATGATGATTGACAAGAACCCTTCCTTCCCTCCAGTGGCTCCGACCCTTGACCTGAGCAGCATCAAGGGTGACACGCTGATTGTGAAGGGTGGTACAGACCTGACCATCACCATCCCGGTCCGCGGCGCGCCAGACCCCACCGTCGCCTGGATGCACGGCCTGCAGAAGATCCAGGAGAAGGGCCGATACTTCACCAAGAAGACGCGCGAGTTCACCAGACTCCAGATCAAGAAAACTAAGAAGGAAGATGGAGGGAAGTTCACCATCATGGCCGAGAACGCCGTCGGGAGCACTTCTGCTGTCTTCAACCTTAAAGTACTCGGTGGGTGACATCTTCTCTCGCTTTGTTCATTCAGAGTTTTTGGATGAATACCAGATTCTGTTCAACTGCAGACTCTAATAGTCACTGAAAGTTAGAACTTTCGAGTATTAGCCTTACTTCTGCAATTACTGGCCCATGTTTTGAGGCTTGTTTAATCAATGCCATTGTTACCATAATTTTTTCCAACCCTATGCTGATGTTTTAACTGTTGTCATCTACAGTTTGGCATCGCATAATACTCCTGGATGGTTTCTTAGTAAAATAGAATGTATGATTATGTACTTAAACTGATTCTTGAGAAAAACGAAGTTGACACTGGTTGATTCTATTGTTTAACTTAGTGCTGTCATTGTCTCTAAGCTGCGAATGATGTACTTACTTCAACCTTGTGCCCACAGACAAACCCGGACCTCCCTCCGGCCCTGTGGCCTTCGATGACATCACGGATGAGTCGGTGATGTTGTCATGGGAACCACCAAAGGACGATGGCGGCAGCGAGGTGACTCACTACGTGGTGGAGAAGAGCGACGTGCGCACGGCACAGTGGCAGTACGTCAGCTCCGAGGTCCGGCGTACACACCTCAAGGTAAATCTCTTCAAATCTATGCTGGACTCAACAGTTTTATTATGAAAATCAACTTTGCAGCATGAGATGTATTCTAATGACCCTCTTCACAACCTGAACGTGTGACTGCTACAGGGAGACAGCTGAGAACCTTGCCAAAAGCTAGACTTAACATCTGAAAAAGTCTGTTTTACACTATGCTGTATGATGCTACAATGACAATGGTTGGTAATGACACCCCACGGCTGTCCTGTTTTAGTTTGAATGTTGATTGTACATAGTGTGTTTGTTTATATTGTCTTGATTTTTAATTCATATTTAGGGGCGTGTTAGCTAATCCCTGCTTTTGTATGATTTGAATTGAATAATTGAAATTCAACTTGCACCTGAAGGTGACCGGGCTGAACAAGGGAGCGCAGTACCAGTTCCGCATCAGTGCCGAGAACCGCTTCGGAGTCGGAACTCCGCTCAACTCTGGAAACTGCTACATCAGGGCACCGTTCGGTAAGCCTTTCATGTTTGTTTGTTTCATTAAGATATACCAGGATCCTTTCTGGAGTCCATGATAAAATAACATAAAGTAAAACAACAGAAACGTCCACACATGATACATACACTCTCCAATCAGAGTGTAGCCATCTTTCTCACGTACTTCAATTGCAACATTTCACCCATGCATGTTCACTCCAAGCTACAAAAATTAATGTATCTTAACAAATATCCTAAAGGTTGATTAGACACAGATTATTGAAAATGTCACAAATGTAGCCATTTTTCTCATGTACTTAGATGGCTACATTTCCCCAGCAGATGTTCTAAGCCTCTGCATTACCTCAAAAGAAATGTGACAAATGTAGCCATTTTTTCTTGCAATATCAATCGCAACATGTTTTTCTCTCCAGATGTCCCTGAGCCGCCACAGAACCTGAAGGTGGTGAGTGTGACCAAGTCCCAGATCACGATCGCGTACGAGCCCCCGGAGAACGATGGCGGCGCGGCCGTGACTGGCTACATGGTGGAGAGGAAGGAGAAAAACTCTCCCCGCTGGATCAAGGCCACCAAGATGCCCATCTCTGACACTGAGTACAGCTCCCTTGGTAAGCAACTTCATAGTATTTATAAATTACACTGAAACTGTTACATATGTGCTTGTGTTGTTCAATGTGGATTGTTCCAATCATTAGCACTCTCTCTTCTTTTGTTGTCCTCAACTGAGGTGAAACAATTTATGCTTTTTCATTAGTGCTTGGTAGTTATTAATGCAATGCGGTTAGCCACAAGAGCTGGACTGTAGCAATTGAGCTATGCTAGGTTTTGCTTCCTAGGACTTCTGTGCAGGGTTGTGTTTTCTGGGTTTCCTAAAGTCTACAAAAAACATCAGAACATGCACAATATTTTATACAGACATATGAGGCTTTATAAAGTCTTCCTGTTGCCCACATGTGTTCTGATTATTGCCATTTTCACTGTTTCAGGTTTGATGGAAGGCCTACAGTACATGCATCGTGTGCGTGCTGTGAACCAGGCTGGTACCGGCCCTGCCTGCGACCCGACCCCACTGGTCATCGCCATGGATCCCATCGCTCCTCCCAGGAACCTCGAGATCCTGGAGGTCTGTATCTGTTGCACTTAAACTTTGCACATATTTCTAAAAACGTTGTTTAAAGCTAGTAATCATGTCCCTACTGTACTTGGACTGCCACTTTACAATCATAGTTCTAGGAAAGAGCTTTTGAATACCTTAATCCTTGGTTGGTATCTCTGGTACAGTTTTCTGCCCTCCAGATTGTACGTAAACAAGGCTAATTGTTTAAAGCTCTCTAGTGATGTTAACCATTCTGTACTTGGTGGCAGCAAGTTTTTCTTGACACCTCAATCCTTGGTCGATAACTCTGCTACTTGAAGGCATGATTACATTGTATTTCTTGCTCTTTTCTGAGCCGGTATTAGGCACTGGTATGAGCAGTTGCTACATCCACCAGTTTATCAGTCATTTTGTACATCATGCAAAGTTTTGACATTTTCCTTCTGTGTTCCAGGTGAGCTCCAAGTTTGTGCACGTGCAGTGGAAGAAGCCGATCTACGATGGCGGCGCCCGCATCACGGGTTACGTCATTGAGGCTCGCGACGTGCGCTCGGACAAGTGGGTGAAATGTCACCTGGGCGAGGTTCTGAAGCTGGAACATGTCATTACTGACATCAAGGCTCTGCAGAAGTACCAGTTCAGGGTCAAGGTAGGGATCTGTTTTGATTTTTCACAATCATATCACAATGGAGGATGAGACAAAACAAGTGATTAAGATTGCCTCTACAAGTTGTCTCTGTACTCTAGTTTGAAATCTCACCAGTCCAGAGTCAAACTTTACATATCCTTTGTAACAAATGTATGTCTATCAATTTTTAGAGGCATGAATGCTTAATTTGCTCAATCTTTACATTTCTGGTAGCTTTGTCATGAATTGTTGCCAAAGATTTTTTATTACCACGCCCACTTATAACTGGGGCTAAAGCTGTATAACTTTAAGCTAAATATAAAATATCAAGACTAATTTGCCATCATTATCATCATAATTGTTATTTTTTCTGGGAAAAGTTATGATACAATCCACAAGTACATGTTGGCAATGCCTGAAGAGTGACTTCGATATCTTTTAACAAATTCCCATTTGTATTTCCACCCTAGGCGAAGAACGAGGCAGGCAACATCAGTGAGCCGTCCAACCTGGCCGGCCCTGTGCTGACCAAGGATGACCTCCAGCCTCCCACCATCACTCTGGACGCCAAGATCAAGGACAACAAGATCCAAGTTCACGCCGGGGACAAGCTGGTCATCTCAGGCTTCGCTGGCGGCAAACCCACGCCCACCATGATCTTCACTAAGGGAAGACTGGTGCTACGCAGCCAAGGTGAGGCTTCAGCACTTCAACACTGTTTTGTAGGGCTTACAGAAATGTTACTTTGTAGATAGGATAACATGTACTGTAGATGTGTATGATGTACTGTAGATGTTTTACAATGAGCCTTTAGAAAAGCCTGCGGACAGGCTAACATGTAGATGTGTATGATGTACTGTAGATGTTTTACGATGAGCCTTTAGAAAAGCCTGCGGACAGGCTAACATGTACTGTAGATGTGTATGATGAAGATAGAGCCTTCAGAAAAGCCTGCAAGAGGCTAACATATCTTCAGATCCTGTTTTCTAGAGCTTTTGATAATCATGATTTTATTCATTTGCAAACTTGCACCCAAGGCTAGTTGCAAGGTAGCCCACAGTATTGGAAATGGGTAGAAAATGTCTGGTCTATAGATCTATCTTATTCTGATGTTTCTCTGTACATTTATTGAGGTGTCTAACTTCTTTATTTGAGGCAGTTGCTACTGAATTTTCCTTCACTTTTAATGACAACTGATAATCTTGTAGTAATGTTTCATACCATAACAGAAAATGTGGATAATGTCCACAGAATATTCAACATTCTACCATGTATTTCGTTGCCTTGTGAGTTGATGAAACATTTACGATGTTCCTCCCCAGGCCGTGTGTCTATTGACCAGAAGGGCAAGGCGTTTGCCCTGTGTGTGGGAGACTCGTCCCGTGCTGATGCCGGAGAGTACACCATCACAGCTGAGAACAACAGCGGCTCCGTCACCGTCACTGTCAAGGTGAGTTTAATTTTCCAACCATATGTTTCATTTTTAGGAAGCTTTGTAGGAAGCTTACTTGTTTATTTTAATATCCATGTTTGGAGAGTTTGGTACATACAACCAAAAATTGATGTTTAAGTGACAATCGAGGTAACTTAACATTCATCATTTACTGTGTGCTACTGCAACCTCATTCGTTTTTGTTATGGTGGTTGTATTAAAGCTGTACAGTTGATATGTTTCACTGAATATGTACTTCTCTGTTCAAGGTATCTTATTAGCCCATATTGGCTGGGCAAAGACACTTTAATAAAACTACATTAATTTTCTTCATTCATTCACTCCAAGGTGCTGGTGATGGGTAAGCCGGGACCCCCCATGGGTCTGCAGGTTCTGGAGACTTGTCATCCATCCATCCATCCATTCATTCCTTCCTTCTCTCCCCTGTTTAGGTGCTGGTGATGGGTAAGCCGGGGCCCCCCATGGGTCTGCAGGTTCTGGAGACCACGCCCGAGACTTGCACCGTTTCCTGGCAACAGCCAGAGGACGATGGAGGAGCAGGTATCACTAACTACGTCATCGAGAAGATGGACCTCAAGACTAAGAACTGGAAGAAGGTACACCAATGCTTTTTGAATTTCTTAATTTCAGGTTTACCCATGGAAATAATACAAAGTAACATCACAAATAAACCAGACACATAATTCATATGCAAGAAAAGGGTAATCTGACTTTTGTTGAACACTATAATGTGTGTTGCATTGTCTGTCAATGAAGAAATTGCATGATTTTTTGCGTCTGGCATAAAATTTTTCTGGTGAGGTGGACAAACAATAAGGTTATACTACAGCCTCTTGGAAATTTGAGAAGGATTGTACATTTATGCTATACAACATTTGGCCAACAGTTCGTAGAATTACAAGGAATAAACAGAGACTATACATCTGTCTCATCTTGATTCATTCATTCATTCTTGATTTCTTTCTTAATCTTCCAGGTTTCTGGAGCTGTGAGGAAGACCACCTTCAAGATCCCGAAGCTGATTCCGTTTAACGAGTACCAGTTCCGGGTCAGCGCACAGAACATGTTCGGGGTGGGCGATCCGGCCACAACCGGAAATGTGCTCGCCAGACATCCATTTGGTATGTCAACCTATAGACTTCTTTTTACTATGGTCATCTTTTCTGACGGTTAAATATAAGTTTATATCAAAGGGCTGGCAATGAACTTGAAGATTCTTTTTGTAGGAATGTACATTCAACTAGATGTAGTAGTATTGTTACAGTAATGAAATTGAAGCATTATCAAACTTGAAGATTTTATACCCAATTCAGGGCCAACAGTAGTCAGTATATCACCATAAAGAAGACTTGACTTTTCACTAAGTCTTAAAACTCAAAAATGTTTGATTTCATCTTGCACTTAGATCACTGTCATGTCCCTGCTGTTTTTCGGGTGTCCCTAGATGCCTAAAAAAAATTGTGGCAGACAATAGAAATAAACAAATTACATAGACATAACGTGGTGCTTAACTGTTTGATCTCCTTTCTCCGCAGACACCCCTGGCCCGCCTGTCCATGTACAGGTGCGTGAGATCACCAGGGAGAGCCTGAAGCTGCTCTGGTCTCCGCCCGAGAACGACGGCGGCTCCGAGATCGTCGGCTTCCTGGTGGAGAGGAAGGAGAAGACCAGCGTGCGCTGGGAGAGGCTCAACAAGGAGCCCATCCCAGAGACTAGGTTTGTGTTCATGTTTATGTTTATGTTTATTAGGAACTCCATTAATAAAACTAGAAAGATAACATTTGCAAAGCAAAAGTATAATGTTTACCTTTGCATATGATCTGCTCTCAGACTGTTAATTCTCACTCGAACACAGTCATATATATGGTGACAGGAGTCTAGATCCCTTCGCTATGAAATTGCAACATGATGTAACCCAACACCAGTTACCATGGTGACAGATGTCTGGTCCAGGTCATTGACCTTATTTGTTTGGAGAAGAAGAAGAAACAGAGCAAAAACAATATGTTTTCCTTCAGTAAACATTAATAATTACAATACATATATATACAACACTGCAGGTTCCGTGTGGAGGATCTGGAGGAGGGTCTGGAGTATGAGTTCAGGATCAGTGCCGTGAACGCTGCCGGAGTCGGGAAGCCCAGCGCTCCCACACTGCCTATCACCGCTCAGGATCCTGTCGGTAAGTCTTGCCTTTCAGTTTGTCTACAGTGTACAGTTTGTCTTTCAGTTTATAAAAACATAGCAGTATGTAGTCAGAATGTTTTGAAATAATGTTTCCTAGTACAGTGGCAGCCAGTTAATTGCAAAACGCTTATAAGAAAAAGTCTGCTAATTGAAAAGAATTGTGAAAACCCAAACCGTTTCCCATTGACACCATTGTTTATCACGCCCCTTATTTGAAAAGCCAATGCCGGCTATTTGAAAAAAAAATTGTCAAGTTGCAACACATTTTCAACCAAAAACATGCCAAACAAATCACCAAAATCGGCGGAAAATTTCTTATATCAAGACATCAAGCCGCCAAAAGGGACGAAGTTGTCTGTTTTGAACCACAAAGGAGGCCGAAATTTACGTTGATCGAGCGGTCGGGCGCACATCGGCACTACGTAATGAGAAGCGCGAGCCGGTTCATAGCCGCCAAATGCGGCATGCTTTTGTGTTCTTTTAGCCTGTTTATTCCAAGAACGTTTAATTTCTCATACAACTCATTTTTTAATCATCAAAACCATGTCTCTACTTGTGTACTGCGCCATTATTTTGAGTTTATTTCGACTGCGACACGGCGCTATCGCCGCTTCAACACGCCAAATGTGTCGCGAAAAAACACCGCATGGGATGATGGGATACTGCTACCCACGCCGCGTCCGCCATCTTTGTTTACTTCCCTGAACGCTAATGCGAGAGATCCCCGTCAACTATCGCAAATTTCCATGTAACCTACGGACATCGTGAGCTAAAAAGTCATTAACATTGAAATGAACAGTTTATTGTTGCATTCGTTACGATAATTTTCGTGTGCTAGCCGGAGTTTCTGAAAATTAAGCGATCGAAGCGATCCTTTGTGAATTGTGCTATCGACTGCTTTCATGACGATCGTCTGCATAATCTGTACGCTACTTGATTGAAGTTTTCCGTTAATCAAACTTTATTTTTTGCTACTTTCGTGATGTAAAAGTACGTACAGGCTGATGATTGTGCATGTATTCGTTGCTTGTTTTGTACGTAGCAAACGTAGCATAATTTGTTTATTCGTTCGAGTAGAGCCTGCCGATAGCACATGATGTCTAACGTATCGCGGCGTTCTTCCAGTCTTGGAAAAAACGAAAAAATACATGTGTACGTCAACGAAAAAATTAAAGCAAATTTACCGATCTCAATAAAGTTCACTGTTTTTAATGCGTAAATGTGACTCATGTTTGTATTCTTTGTGTCGTTATGTGTTCGATGCCCTNATACAACTCATTTTTAATCATCAAAACCATGTCTCTACTTGTGTACTGCGCCATTATTTTGAGTTTATTTCGACTGCGACACGGCGCTATCGCCGCTTCAACACGCCAAATGTGCCGCGAAAAAACACCGCATGGGATGATGGGATACTGCTACCCACGCCGCGTCCGCCATCTTTGTTTACTTCCCTGAACGCTAATGCGAGAGATCCCCGTCAACTATCGCAAATTTCCATGTAACCTACGGACATCGTGAGCTAAAAAGTCATTAACATTGAAATGAACAGTTTATTGTTGCATTCGTTACGATAATTTTCGTGTGCTAGCCGGAGTTTCTGAAAATTAAGCGATCGAAGCGATCCTTTGTGAATTGTGCTATCGACTGCTTTCATGACGATCGTCTGCATTTTTGCTGTACGCTACTTGATTGAAGTTTTCCGTTAATCAAACTTTATTTTTTGCTACTTTCGTGATGTAAAAGTACGTACAGGCTGATGATTGTGCATGTATTCGTTGCTTGTTTTGTACGTAGCAAACGTAGCATAATTTGTTTATTCGTTCGAGTAGAGCCTGCCGATAGCACATGATGTCTAACGTATCGCGGCGTTCTTCCAGTCTTGGAAAAAACGAAAAAAATACGTGTGTACGTCAACGAAAAAAATTAAAAGCAAATTTACCGATCTCAATAAAGTTCACTGTTTTTAATGCGTAAATGTGACTCGTGTTTGTATTCTTTGTGTCGTTATGTGTTCGATGCCCTGTCCACCCCCCACCCCCATAGTTTCAATGAAGGCCGAGAGTTTGAGCCTCAGAGTCTCTTAATCGGAAAGGCCGGGTATTTGAAAAAAATGTGCTGACAAATTGGCTTTTCAAATAAGCGGCTTCTACTGTAGCACCATTTTAATTTTACTACTAAGTTTTCTTCTGTCTTTAATGATACAACTTTGAAAAATGCAAGGCAGTTTTTGACTACAGCTGGTCATATGTCCTTGTAGTGTCATGTCAAGGACCAGTTCAGGTTAGGTGCAAGTTAGACATGAGAAATACCCTCATAGCTCCTGGACCAATCTTACCTGCACTAGCCTGCATATGCAGATGGTGTTTTGAATCCTGTTGTAATACTTTCATTGCCAATTGCTCTTCCAGACAAGCCCGGCCCGCCCGGCCCACCTGAGGTTGAAGACACCACAAGGAGCTCCATTTCTCTCACATGGACCAAACCCACCAGCGACGGGAGGAGCAAGATCATCGGCTACGTCCTGGAGATGCAGCCGGTTGGCACAGAGGAGTGGACCAAGGTACAGTGTTAACTTTGAACTTTATTAAACAACACTGCAGACTAAACTGCTGGAATTGTATTGTAGTTTACAGAATGTTAGAAATACCCATCTTCAGTCTGCATTTTGCAGAGATATTGCTGAAGAAAGATGAAACAGTTTTCCATACTGAAAAATAAGGCTAGGGGTTTAATGGTGTCAGCATGATATTCTTTAGATCTGTGTTTTTGTTTACTGCTAAGTCTCGTAAATTTGCATGTATTTTTCAAATTGCATGTACCAGGTAAATGTTTGCCAACATGCAAGTTTGTATATGCCATAGGTCCAGACTTGTACAGTGTATTTTTTATATCAAAGACTTTCTGAATTGCATTGTGACATTCTGCCATGTTGTATGTCTAGGTGCAGAAAGTATTTCTGAATTGCAGAAGAAAATGTTGACATTCTGCAATGTTGTATTTCCAGGTTCACACCACCTCCACCATCAAGCTCCTGTCCTATGTTGTTGATGAACTGACAGAGAACAAGGAGTACGTGTTCCGTGTCAGCGCCGTGAACGCTGTTGGCGTGAGTGAACCCTCGGCCTCCACAGCACCTACTGCTGCCAGGGAGAGGCAAGGTAAGCAGATGTTGTTATACATTTTCTATCATTTCTAGCTGTGAACACAGTGAAAATTTCTCACTTAAGGTAAGGAGCTTTAGTTATGGGACAGGCATGCTTTTCCTATAGTTTATAACTGTGCTTTTTCCTATCATGCTAATCTGTGGAAACAATGGTGATATCGTTCGTGAGTTCTCAAGACCTTCCAAACTCTTTGCTATGTACAGAAAACTTGCTTTGTACAAAATATTCATGGCTTTTATATTGAAATCTTCTTCACCTAAAACAATTTTAAAAAGCAAGGATCAGCCTCTCTTCTTTTCAAACTGAGCCACTCTTGTCTAAAGTATGGCTTCTTTCATAATGCAGATATTTCTAACAAACCTCTCCGTCTCCCCCATACAGAACCTCCGGAGGTTGAGGTAGACGCCAGCATGAAGCGTAGCCTGACGGTCCGCGCCGGTAACCCGATCCGGTTCTACGTGGGGGTCAAGGGTCGCCCCGCCCCCACCTGCACGTGGGAGAAGGAGGACGTTGACCTGAAGACTCGCGCTAACATCGAGACGACCGAGTACTCCACGACCATGACCATCGCTACGGCCAACAGGGACGACGCTGGGAAGTACGAACTGACTGTCGAGAACCCGCACGGGAAGAAGACTGTCGGGACTTACGTCAAGGTTTACGGTACGTGCCACATGTATTTATTTGCATATATTTTTCTCATTTGCATATTTGGGAAAATACCATGCTACCACTTGGAACAATGAGCAGTTCCATTTTTTCATAATGATTGCGTATCAAAATTACTTGAACCAAGACAAAAAATTATGCTTTTAAGTCAATGACACTCAAAACATGTTTCATTTTCTTGCGTTTCTTGCCTCTGTCTGATGCAACAACATTACTGTTTAATATCTATTTTCAGTAAAATACTTATATTTAGCACATCCACCTTAAAGACATTTCTCCAGAATCTGACAAGACATTTTTTTGTTCCCCCCAGACACCCCCGGCCCCCCTGAGGAGGTTGTAGTGAAAGGTGCCACCAGCAAGACTGCCGTCATCGACTGGGACCCACCCAGCAAGGACGGCGGCAAGCCTGTCATTGGGTACATCCTCGAGAAGAAGGAGGTACGTTGTCCGTGGTAACCACTGTAGACAAATATACGTTGTCATGGCAGCAATCACAGTAAAAAATATTTTGTCATCTCAACCACAGTAAACAATAAGTTTAGCCAGGGATTAGAAAAGAGGAAAAACATATAAAATTACTGACAACACAACTCCAGAAGTGTAAATTTTTAATCTGAAATGTGTTAAAAAAATAAGTTTTATTTTCACCATCTCCAGTCAAAATTGGAGGTGTGAATGTACAATTATAATGTCTGTATATAGAGCTCACCTGTTGTCCTCAGACTCACCTGTCTTGACCCTCCCCACAGGTGAGCCGTCGTACCTGGGACACGATTGACTCAGACATCGTGAAGACGTGCTACAGGGTGACTGACCTGGTGGAGGGGAACCAGTACTTCTTCCGCGTTCTCGCCGTGAACGACTTTGGAATCGGCGATCCGGGAGAGACCGAGGCCCCCACACTGGCTATCGACCCTGCTGGTGAGAGGATAAACATTGCTTTCTGTTTTATACACATGGCAAATAAATGTCTGCATGATACACAGTGTACAGTGTGGCTCAAAGGCCTTTTTCTTCTAGCTGTTTGCCTTTATGACTTACTTATTTGTTCAGAAACAAGTGCTTTAGTCCTGATCTTGGGTTTGCATGACTGCTTTCATTACTGTTCTTAGTGAATGGTTATGACAATGAAAAGGAGTAGAAATAGTCCTGTACTAAGTGTAGTAGCCATAGAAATTGGTGCAGATTTTGCTAGGCTTCTAGTAGAACAAAACATGACAAAAATATGATTTTTGTGCCAAATCTATTTGCTTTATTTCTGAAGACACAATTATGAAAAAGGATTGAAAAAGTCCTGTATAAAGTGTAGAAGCAATAGAATCTGTGTGGGTTTTGCTAGGCTTCTGTTCGAAAAATAGATGACAGAAATAGATTTTTTTGTGCCAAATCTGTTTTTGCTTTATTTGCAAAAAATACTATTATGACAACATGTTGCTAGACTTTTGTTAGGCACAAAGAAGAAATCTGTTTTCTCTGTTCCCCTCAGACCAACCTGAGCCGCCGAGGAACTTCCATGTGACAGAGATCACGCCCAACAGCGTGTCTCTGGCCTGGAAGAAGCCCGACTACGACGGCGGTGCTCCCATCACCAGCTACGTGGTGGAGATGCTACAGGTACTTAACCGTCTTCCTGCTGTTATCTTCATAAACAATGCAAATTTTGTGCTAGAGAGCTACCCTAGCAGACTGAAGGTTAATGGCCCTGTCCTTAGTGCTGAAACCATTGCTGTTATTAACCCTCTCCCTGCTGCCTAACCTAGTAAGCAATACAAATTGGGTGTCGAACGGTTATCTTAGCAGTCTGAATATTTAATGCCGGAATAATGGCCCTGTCCCTAGTGCTGAAACTATAGTGACACTGATGAAAAGTAGTGGATGCTACCTGAAACATCTGACCGTTTCCAAAATCATATCCAGTTGATTGAGTAACTGTCTTTTGGCATATCTTATTACCTGGATGTATAACCTTTACCAACATAAAAATTCAAACTAATTTATACTGTCTATTGGATAAATTACAACTGTAACTGGATAACTCATGGAAGCATTGGAGTTTAAATTGTCTGAATATTGTTTGCCTGGATGTCTAACCTTCATCATTTTATTCATCCATTCCTTCATGCAATCATTCATTCCTTCCTACATCCACAGTTTGTGAGTGAAGAGGAGGAGGGTGAGTGGAGGAAGTGCACGCAGATCAACGCGCTGCGCTACACCGTCGCCGACCTCCTGAAGGGCGAGAAGTACCGCTTCCGCGTCTCCGCGCAGAACTACGGCGCCGTCAGCAAACCTGCCGAGCTGCTGCAGCCCGTGGTCGCCAAGGAACAGATATGTACGTTTCCATGGAGATGGATTTGTCTTTTTAGAATCCTCCTGAAGTATACAAGTGGAAGGGAGGGCAAAACAGGTGTATTAACACCTGTATGAAGCAACAAAATGATGTTATATTCATTCACAAAACTTAGCACTTTAAACCTTAAGTTTAGTAGAATGACTTCATTTTTTACTCTTTGCTCCATTCTTTTGGTACTCCCACCAGCCGTGGAACATAAAACATTAAGTTTTGTAAAATCATGTTGTTGCCTTCTAATACTTTGAATTAATAGATAGAGAGAATTGGCAGCTGTATACATGTTTGTACATTGTGCCCAGTATACTTATTTATCCTCTTCATCCCTCAGTATACAACAACAGTGTACATGTACTAGGAGTTAAACCATTCCATTTTCTTGTAGTCCCACCAGCCTTCGACCTGCAGGGCATCACCTCCGACACCATCATGGTGAAGGAAGGATCAGACTTTGTGCTGAAGATCCCCTACTCTGGACAGCCTGTACCCACCGTCACATGGAAGGTTGGTTTTAATGTCGGACTGTGTTATTACTGGGTAATTACCGTGTAAATCATGTGTTTTTATAGAATAACACAATTCAAATTTGTTCTGTTATAAATTTTAAAGAGAGGTGCTTCCTGATCTGTTGATGTCGCCAAAAAAATCTGTCAATTTTCATGAAAATACTTAGAGAAAACTCTAGATTGGAACATTTTTGAACAGGTGCTAGGATTTTGGGCAGAGGGGGAGCACCCTTGTTTCATTGCTTGAGGAGAGCCCAGAGACATAATTTAGCCAATGGCTACAATTGCTTGTTTGTTTTTGTATTAAATAAACTGTTTGATTTGCTTTGCTTGCAGCGTGGGCTGGGAGTCATGCAGCAGACAGCCCGCATCTTCACCAAGACAACTCGCGAGCTGACCCAACTGTTCATCAAGCGTGCCTTGAAGGCAGACAGTGGACAGTTCTCTGTCAACCTGGCTAACGCCGCAGGCAGCCAGCAGGCCGACTTCCAGGTACCATGATTTACCTTGTCTTCATGGTAGCAACATTTCACAGTCTGAGGAAATAGGACATGTTCGAGGTGGCAGCAATTACAGGGAGGGGGACGATAGACAAATATTTGATAATGGTAATGATAAGTTCACAGTACAGAAGTGACTGAACTTGAAACAAAAACAAAACTTTTTTTACTTGTAGAAAACAAGCCATTGAAGCCACTCACAATTTTCTGCATTTGATAACCATGAAAACAAACAATAATGTAACAATATCTCTCTTATATTTTTCAAAGCATCATAGCAAAACTTTTACAGCCACCCATTTCTTGTATAAGTGAAATTCTGACATTATATCATCCCAACTCTTCAGATCAATGTCCTTGGCAAGCCGCTGCCACCAGAAGGGCCAGTGGAGTTCGAGGACGTGAGCGCCGAGAGCGTCACGATGAACTGGAAACCACCAACGGACGACGGCGGAAGTGAGGTCACCAACTACGTGATCGAGAAGTCTGACAACCGCGGCATCGCATGGGTCTACGTCAGCTCCGGCGTGAAGAGGACGACTATGAGGGTGACAAAGCTGACGAAGGGCAAGATTTACGCCTTCCGCATCAGCGCCGAGAACCGCTTCGGTGTCGGGAAGCCCATCGAGTCTCCCTACATCACAGCTAAGGATCCTTATGGTGATCACTGATAACTTTACTACTTTATTACAAATTCTTCTCAAGGGGTAATTACAGATTCAAGGGGTAATTACAGATAACAGGAAAATGACGAACAAAGAATGAAGCATATGACTAGCCTAGTGTAAAACCTGGCTCTAAGTTGTAACTTTTGGGGAGACATCGGAAGACAAAAGATCCCACTTTTTCTGTTCTTTTTTCTATTACATGTATGTGTGTTTTTTTTTGGGGGGGGGGCCAAGACAAGAGTGTGTAGATGTATTGTGATGTGATGGCATTTGTTGGCTCCTTTGTTGCAACATATTAGCAACACCTTGTTCATTTGAGAATACTAGTTTAATCTAGTAAGTGAATTAGTCGGCTTCTCCTTACTAATATGTGTGCCCTGTCCCTCCCCAGACATCCCCGGACCTCCCGGAGTCCCGGAGACCCACGACGTGACCCGTGAGCAGATGTGCCTGACCTGGCCCGAGCCGGCCGACAACGGCGGCAGCCCCGTCACCGGCTACGTCATCGAGCGGAAGGAGATGTTCTCCAACCGCTGGGTCAAACTCAACCGCGCTCCCGTCCGCAAGAACGAGTTCACGTCCACACAGCTCACAGAGGGGAAGGAGTACGAGTTCCGCGTGTGTGCGGTGAACGCGGCGGGCGTGGGACCTCCCAGCGAGCCGTCGCGCCCGAGGAAGGCGGTGGATCCGGTCGGGATCCCGCGGAACGTGGAGATTCTGGAGATCACACGATCGTCGGTGACGCTGTCCTGGGCACGCCCGACGCACGACGGAGGCAGCAAGCTGGTGTCGTACATCATCGAACGCAGACTGGCCAAGGAGGAGAAGGTACAGTCATAACTTCCATTCATGTTTTCATATATACAAGAAAAAGATCTTCTTTATGTCTTGACTGGAATGTTAGGAAATCAAGGGCAGAGGTCTTTTTCTGCATGTATCCACTTGATACTAGGCAAAATGTTCCTACTGTTGCAGTAATAGCTAAGTATGGGCTTGGATGAGTTTGTATTTGTGAAAGCCACTGCCTCAAAATCCACTCCTCCTTATCCTCCATAGCTCTTGGTAGTTGATCTGTGGTGCAGCTTGCATCTTTGCACAGTTATGGATGGTCTTTCTACCCTTGCACCACCATGCTTTGGTTTCAATCAGAGAAGAAATTTTAAACAACGTGCTAATTTTTCCTACAGTGGACACAGCACATCCACTCAGACCTGGGTAACCTGACCTACGCAGTGAAGGGGCTGAAGCAAGGCGAGAAGTACGTGTTCCGCGTCTGCGCCAAGAACGCCGCCGGCACCGTGAGCGACCCCAGCCACGCCGTCGGACCAATCATCTGCAAGGACGACCTGGCCCCGCCCAAGATCCTGCTGGACACCAGGCTGAAGGAGAAGGTGACCGTTGCTGCCGGCAGTGCCATCACTCTGGCCGCTATGGTCAGTGGAAAACCTCAGCCGGAGATCTCATGGTCCAAGGGAACTAGGTACAGACTGTACACAAATTAATATACTCTGTATGGCTTACACAGACACAGGGTGTGGACCATACACTCTGCATGTAAAGCTAAGACAGTATGATTTTGTATGCCTCACACAGACAAAGTATGGACCATAGTAAAATTTACACTCTACAGCTTCCTGTGACAAGCTATATTAGAGACAACAGTACATTAGACTTATACACTTATTTTCATATACATGATAATAATACAACTATATTATCATGCATTGTCTCTAATGGATGCTGTACATCTGTTGCGAGCCCTGGAGGTGCTCAAGAGTATCTTAATAAACTGTACATATTAGAAAACAGCTACTCAAAGCAACCCAATAGATAAGGATAGATTTTGAAAAGTGAGTGTCTTGAGAAACTTTTTTTTTTCATATCTCATTACCTGCCTGTCTAACCTTCATCTATGTAAACTAAACTAACTTTTTCGCAGGACCCTTGTTGGAACCAACCGTATGAAGATAGACTCTACGGCCCGCTCCACCCAGCTGGCTATCAAGGACTGTTGCCGTGCCGACAGCGGGAAGTACACACTTACCGCTATCAACGGCAGCGGCAGTGCTAACATCAGCATTCAGGTAAGAAACAACTGAATTACAATCATGTAGTTCATCAGTACATCAGAGAAGTAGTACAGCTACTGCAGTAGTACATCAACGGCAGCCGCAGTGCAAACATCAGCATTTAGGTACGGAGGAATCATCTTTAATTAATTTGTTGTACAACAATTGCATCAGTGACAATGTAGATGTATACTATTATTAGCAAGTTACAGATAATTCTAGTTTTATCAAATAAAAAACTGGATATTATTCTACATGCTACATTAGTCTACATTACTTTGTTGAAAGCTATAAGCTACTTAACAACAGTCTTAAATTTTTTTTACAGTCACTTTACATTTGTCAAATGCTTCGAATATTGCAGTTTGTTTTCTTGCATAGTGTTAATATACATGTATGCAATAGCCTAGGTGGTTAGATAATGTAATCTGTATATGATAGAAGTACATTCAATATGAAAGTATCGCTGCTTGTGTGAGGTGCGGTTATACATTTGACTTATTACATGTGATTACTTGATGATGATTGGTTTATTAAGAACACATAATCCGACATTGGCAAGCAATTGACGAAATCGGTGTCAGACTTACATCAATATGAAAATCCATCAAGGGAATAAAAACTTATTTTACAACAATTAAAAGAGCAGCGTGTATGAAAACAGGCCTTAGTGTATAGTTAATATAAAATATGTATAAAAACTTGAATTTAACGCTTGTCCATCATTATCCCAGGTGACAGTTCTGGACCGCCCCGGCCCGCCCACCGGCCCGATCCAGGTCGGCGAGGTTACCCCAGAGACTGCCGTGATCTCGTGGGCCCCGCCCGCCGACGATGGCGGCGCGGAGATCACCAACTACGTCGTGCAGAGGAGCGACGTCAAGCAGCCAGATGTCTGGATCAAGGTGAGCTTATATACATGTGGCAATGAAAGGGTCTTAATATCTTTTCTAATCAGTTCAATAACATCTTGAATTTGTATATTGAATCTTGAACCAGTTAAGTCTTGATGAGGTTTTAAAGAGTCATGCAATAACAAAAATATGAATGATCGGTTACATTTGTCTAGTTGTAAGCTTTGTTTAGAGCTATCTAGTGATGATGCCCTTATTGATGTTTATTTGTTTATTTCTGATTGCACTAAAAAAAACAAGTCAGATTGTTTTAGGGAAAATGAGTTTTTGAACACCTAAGTCCTTGGTTGACAGCTCTGGTACTTGTTTCTTTTTCTTTTCTGAGGTATAAAAAATCTTGCAAAAACTATGCATACGTTTGGGCAAATGTGAATGTTCTTACTAGAAGTACATCGTACACATGAACAGGTATTGCCCAGGTATTTGACTAAACTATGCCCCCCCCCCACTTTAGGTGAGCGCTGCCGTGCGTAAGACGACTCACAAGATCACCAAGCTGAACCTGGGCACCACCTACTGCTTCCGCGTCCGGGCACAGAACATGAACGGCATCGGAGACGCACTCGCTTCTGAACACATCGAGGCCAGATATCCATTCGGTACATTTCTCTTTTGTCCTCATCTACTTTTACTCAAGTTATCTATCAACAATGAACACATCTTTGATGTCTGTATATATTGATAGGTCTGACTTATTTTGGAGTCATTGTTGTTCACCTGTAGTGATGTAATCTGCTTTGTACAGACACAAAGGGCAAGTATCAGAAGATTTTACAAGAATGAACCTCTCTCTTGTATTTTTTGCAATACTTCTATGCAAGCAGTAGACATAATTGTAGGTACAAAATATGATGTAGATTTTAATATCTTAATTGAATTTACCATAATTGAATACCATGGACAAAAACGGTTGAAATAGATAACCTCAACAGCTCTGTGTCCTGTACTTTTCATATGTTGGTCAATGAACAAAAAATGATCTTCCCCCCTCCCCATACACCCCATACACACCTAGTGCCACTTACCCTTCTGTAATGTGTGGTTTTTGCAATGTAAGAAATATTCTGCATAATAACCATCCCGCCCTTTTCCCCAGACACCCCTAGCGCACTTTTTCATGTATTCTTACATATCTTCTCATTCTCCCCAGACACCCCTAGCGCACCTTTTCATGTATTCTTACATCTTCTCATTCTCCCCAGACACCCCCAGTGCCCCAGGTCAGCCCCAGGTGAAGGATCTGACAGCTGAGAACTGCAGGATCACCTGGACTCAGCCCGAGACGGACGGAGGCTCCGAGATCACCGGATACATCGTGGAGAAGAAGGAGAAGAACAGCATCCGCTGGGAGCGCATCAACCGAGACCTGGTGCAGGAGATGGAGTACATGGTACGTTTGTTTGTTTGTTTGCCTGTTTGTATTGCATAACTGGAAAACCATCTTTAGGCACAACACAACTTTGTTGTACAGTAAGTACAAGCTGCTTAAGACTGGAAATATCTGAAATCTTTTTGTGTGGTTGGATTCAAACCCAGAACCTTCAGATTCTGTGGCTCTCCTCAAACAGAGAACCTGAACTCTTATGTCTCCTTCAAAAAGATGTCCCTATCTGAAGCTGGGTACTGGGTCAGGTGGGGAAATTGGTGTAAAGTTCTTTTTTCCAAGAGCACAACATTGGGGCTGCTGGATTTGAACCCAGAACCTTTAGATTCAGAGGCAACAACCCTAACCAGAAACCCACCTTGTCATTTTCAGGTACTGGACCTGGAGGAGGGTCTGGAGTACTCGTTCCGTGTGTGTGCTGTGAACATGGCCGGCCGAGGCAAGGCCAGCCCACAGACCATGCCGACAGTGGCACAGGATCCTCTGGGCAAGCCTGGCAGCCCGGTCAACGCTGAGGTGGTCGACACCACCAGGACTTCTGCTGAACTCAAGTGGGAACCTCCCATCAAGGATGGAGGTAGGAACATCCAACAAGAACTTGTCTTAAAAAGTTTCAACTGTCAAAGAACTATTTTGTAAAATCTTACAGCCTTATCATAATGATAATTTTGACAGAAAAGACACTGTGTATTGTTTTCTTCTGGTAGGAAGAACCAACAAAAACTTGTCCTAAAAGTGTCAGCTATCCAAAAACTATTTTGTAGAATAAAAGCCTCACAGCCTTTGAATAATAATTCGAACAGGAGAAAGTGTGGATTGTTTTCTTGGACAATCTTAGTTGCCTAGACGGGTCTGTTGCTTTGAAAGGAACATCATTACTATGATAGTAAAAAGCTCTACTGCACTGTAAGTAAAGACATAAGTTGTTTCCTCACTTCCCAGTCTGCATGAATATGTCTGTCTTACACAGTTTCTTTCCCCTTGTGTCTAACAGGTTCTAAGATCCTAGGCTACATTGTGGAGGCGCGTAAGGAGGGTACGGAGGAGTGGCTGAAGGCCCACGCCACGTCCCTGCACCGTACCACCGAGTACGTCGTGCCTGATCTTGTCCCCGGCGGCTTTTACAAGTTCCGTGTCAGCGCCGTGAACCAAGTCGGCGTCGGCGAACCAGCAGAGATCCCGGGCGTGACCGAGGCTAAGGACATACTGGGTAAGGAGTGGTCTCTTTAAAAGATTCTCTCACTCACTACCTGGTTGAGTGTCTGTTGTTCCCCGACTTTCGAGCATCAGACGTGCATGCACAGCAATACTGAGGCTTGATGGCAGCCTGCCACTTGCCTCTATCCTATGGGTTGACTTTATATAGGTTAAGGTGGTGGAGGTCCTCCCTCTCCTTAAAAGATTCAAGATGTATTTATTGAACATTGCAGTGGGAGCACTAGATTATTGTAGAAGTAAAGAACCAACAACATTTTCTTTGTGCAATTTGTTAAATTTTGACAAGGCTTTGGTCTTGATAGAAGTAAGAGTAGTAGAAGTAAGAATGGTAGTAGTAGGAACCTAAAACAATTTTATTTTTCTTGACACAGAAATTGCTGAGCTGGACCCGTCCGTGGCGAAGCACCGTGTGACGGTTCGCGCCGGCACTCCGCTCCGTATCTACGTGCCTATCAAGGGCAAACCCACACCAACTTGCACATGGGCACACGAGGAGAGGTATGGCAGATTTTAGCTTTCAGACTATGAAACTAACTTCATGAAATTTTGCCTTGTGCATCATGACAATGTTGGGATTTTTTCATAAGGGTCAGTGGGGAGTATGATCTTTTAGCTTTGAAACAACTGTGTGGCCCAAGGTCCACAGAATTGGACATGGGCTATACCCTATACTCCCCAGATGCATGGGGAAAAAGGTCTTTTTTTTAGTTCGCTAGAATCATTCTTAAGTCAAGCACACTGCAACCAAAGGAAAAATGATATTCTACTGACATACTAGAATGTTTTGCTTTTACATGATAATGATTATGTTCAATATTTTTCATCAATATAAGAATCAGTAGGGAGAATGATACATGTATTTGGGAGAACATTCAGTATTGTCCAGCCTTGAATATGATGAACATGAACCCTGACCCCTGCCCTCCACCCCCAGTGACCTGGAGAACCGTGCTCAGATTGAGACGAGCGAGGTCGCGACCCAGCTGCTGATCATGCCTGCTGACCTGCGTGACGCCGGACTGTTCCACTTGACTGTGGAGAACTCCAGCGGCAAGGCCGAGGCAGACATCAACGTTAGGGTGCTCTGTAAGTGGACCTGTAACATTACTGTACTTCTTCTACTCTAAAACTTGTTAATTGTACAATGTAAGTAAAGACTGTTCCACCTGACTGTGGAGAACTCCAGCGGCAAGGCTGAGGCAGACATCAACGTCAGGGTGCTCTGTAAGTGGACCTGATGTTTTTAAAGTGTAGGGGATGTAAAAGTGCTCCTTTTAGGATACAGGGGTTTTCTTTTACACAACCAGTATTGTCTCTTATCTTGCTTACATTGTTTTCTCGCCATGTGTACAGGAAGACTGTAGATCTAGAACTTACTGGTTCCCAGTGAAGTCCTATGAAAGTTTTCAAATATTGAAGTATTGAGGTTTAAAGTTCTGCATTTAGATGGAACTAGGAAGTATCCCTTGCATTTGTGTAGTTTCATCACATTTGTATGAAGTTTATCCTAATTGCAACTATTCTTGCCTACAGCCCAACCTGGCCCACCAGAGAATGTGGAGATTAAGAGTTTCGGCCGTGAGAGCGCCGTGATTGACTGGGACCCTCCCAGCAAGGACGGCGGCAAGCCTGTCACCAACTACATCCTGGAGAAGAAGGAGATCAGCAGGAAGACGTGGACAGTCATCGACGCCAACATCGTCAAGACCTGCTACACGGCGCTGAACCTGGTGGAGGGGAACCAGTACTTCTTCCGGGTGTTCGCCGAGAACGACTTCGGAATCGGCGAACCCGGGGAGACGGTCGCCCCCATGACTGCCATGGACCCAATTGGTCAGTAAAGTTGTTCATTTTGTTTGAATGTTTGTTTATTACCTTTACCTTTACCTAGTCCCATCCTCATGTCTGAGGGTCGGGGACTGTTTATTAGATCCTCCACAAATACACAAGTGGAATGGAGTCTTACAGCTCCTGTAATATTGATTTTGTAGATTGCCGTCAATTCCCTTCCTTAGACCATGCAAAAGTTCTAAGGTGACAAAGCCTAAAGTCTTACTGAATATTTTTCTTGAATGCTCCTTACATTGGCTCTCCTGAAAACAAGCTGACCACTTCTTTAATTAGTGTTAAATATGAGCATGTTAAAGATCCCACCACACTTACATGTATAGGGGTCCTTCCCAGTTTGAGTAGTTCAGATCTTACAGTCTGGTGTCATCTTGAAAAGGTGATAGTCCCATTATGTCAATCTCTCCACAAATCTGGTAAATCTTAAATAAATAATAATAAAACAATGTTCCTTGCTTTGCAGACCAACCCGACCCACCCAAGCGTGTGAAGCTGACAGAAGTGACGTCCCACACCGTGTCTCTGGCCTGGGAGAAGCCCGACTACGACGGCGGCTCCCGAGTCACCAGCTACATCGTGGAGATGCTTCCTGAAGACAGGACTGAGGAGGAGGGATGGATCAAGTGCAGCCAGGTCAGGAAATATCTCTCTTTCTCTGTCTCTCTGTCTCTCTGTCTGTCTCTCTCTGTCTCTGTCTGTCTCTCTCTCTCTCTCTGTCTCTCTCTGTCTCTCTCTCTCTCTGTCTCTCCCTCTGTCTCTCTATCTGTCTCTCTCTCTCTTTGTCTCTCTCTGTCTCTCCCTCTGTCTCTCCCTCTGTCTCTCTCTCTGTCTCCCTCTTTCTCTCTCCCTCTCTCTCTCCCACTTTCCTCTCTCTCCCACTTTCCTCTCTCTCCCTCCCTCTCTCTCTTTCTTGCATCCTTTAACATATTTCTAACTTATGTCTACCTCCCTCCAGTTGAACACACTGCGCTACACTGTGACAGAGCTTGAGAGGAACGCTGTGTACCGGTTCAGGGTGTCTGCCCAGAACGCCGGCGCCGTCAGCGAGCCCAGAGAGCTGCCAGATCCCGTTGTCTGCAAAGAACCAGAGAGTAAGTGCCGTTTTCACATTCCAAGTATCTGTATCGGTATAGCCGGTATAACCGCCCTTCCGCGTAACACAACAGCTTCTGTATCTGTATAGCCGGTATAACCGCCTTTTGGCGTAACACACCAGCTTAGCACACAAGTATAATTGTATAATTTTCACCGGTATGTGGAGTGTATATCATTAAAATAAGAAGATTATTACATTTTCTCCAGGAAGAAACTCATTCTTTTGTGATGGGTATACTGCAAACTCTCTAATTGGAATACCATTTTCAATATCTTTTTGGTTGGAAGGTAGTTTCATAGCAGAATTTCTTAACATGCCAGAAAATTGGCATAATTTTGTATCACTAAGTCATAGAAAAGATGGCTGAATGTCACATTGTTTTTTTTCTCAGTGGAAGCAAATTTTCATTGAAAAATTTCTTACCATGTGTGGAAATATGTTGATATTGTATGAATAAGTCATAGGAAGCATGTCTTGATATTAATATTATGCTCCTTTTTTTCCTCTCCCAGTTCCTCCATCCATGGACCTGAGTGCTCTCCAGTCGCAGGACTTTGTCCTGAAGGAGAGTTCCGACTTCGCGCTGAAGATCCCGTACGCCGGCCTGCCCAAGCCTAAGGTTTGTTTGTTTGTTTTATTTCACCTGAGGGTGCTTTTTTAATGTGCCCTTGGGGGTAGGTAGGTAGGGGGGGAAAACCCCATACAAAAGCCATGTACATGAGCTCAACTTAGTCCAAATTACAGCAAACGTTAAGTTATATTGTATAATGCAAATTACTAATTCCTACAAAACCAAAAACCAACATACATGATACATAAAATCATACTTCCAAAATAAATACAGAACATAATAGAATGAAATCAGGATTGAATTTGCATATCAATGATTGTCTAGGTAACCTGGCTGAGAGGCCTCGGCCCGCTGAAGGACAGTGGCAGGATATTCACCAAGACCCTACAGGACAACACGACGCTGTTTATCAAACGTGTGACCAAGGCTGACACCGGCTCCTTCACTCTGAACCTGGAGAATCTGGCAGGCAGTCAGAGTGCTGAGTTCAAGATGAAGGTGAGACATTCGGGGACAGGTTTCCACCAATTTGAGCTTTTAAGTTGTACATAAGAAGTCTACAATTCAGCTGTAAGGCTGCCAAGACTTTTAACTTGTCTATGTTTAATGTAAGTACATGAAAAGTATCAGGAACACTAGACACAAACATCTTCTACCATCAGAACAAAAAACAAACAGAGGCATGATTAATTTCCTTTGTGATTCGTCATTTCAATGACAGTATTATTTGCACATGTAGAGCATTGTTATTTTTTTCCTCGTAGTTAACAAATAATTGACCACACCATATCCTAGTATGTGCCAGTTATCTTTGAGTAATTTGTATTGTGTATGGTGATTATTTCAATATTTGTATAGAGAATGCAATTCAGTCAGTAACTTTGTGGCACTTTCAGTGGGTGTTCGTAATGATGAAATAAGCCATAATCATTCATTTATTCACTCACTCATTCCTTCCTTCCTTCCTCCCAGGTTGTTGGCAAGCCGACAGCTCCCCAGATGCCAATCGAGTTTGATGATGTCCAGCCGGACAGCGTCACGCTGAGCTGGAAACCGCCAGACAGCGACGGGGGCAGCGAGGTCACCAACTACATCATCGAGAAGTCCGACAACCGTGGTGCCACCTGGGTCTACGTCAGCTCTGGTGTCAAGAGGACCATATGCAAGGTGAGACTTCTGTGCAACTCAAACTTCGCTCATCAGCATGAAAGTTCATCTGAGTTGGTAAATTTGGGTCAGATAGCTGAGGAAGACTGAGTGATTCAGTCAAAAATTTCTGGTGAGTCAAATTTTGAGTTGGAGAACAGTTTAAGTTTTTCATAAACTTCGCTCATGTTTCAAGGCAACCCTTATGTCTTAGCAATTTGTTATTATGATTTTCTTCTGCCTTTCCATGAAATGAAAGTATGATGAATCAGCTTATTCTTTTCAAACAGTTTGAAAGAAGTAATGGTTACATTACACAAGAAAACTGTTACTCATTGACAAGCAACTGGACAGATTTTGAAAACTGTCAGATGTTTCAAGCAGCATCCACTACTTTTTGTCAGTGACTACAGAATCTGTATTTATCCCAAAATGGTTACATTACATTGGAACATGTATGAACATGTATCCTATTATCTCCAGGTTGGAAAGCTTGTCCGTAACAAGGAGTACAGCTTCCGTATCTCTGCCGAGAACCGATTCGGTGTCGGCCCTCCCATCTACTCCACCTCCGTGCTGGCCAAGGAGCCGTGCAACTTTTATAATTATTGTGCAACAAACGTTAACATGTCTATCTGTACCTCATTTTTCCCTAGGTTGGAAAGCTTGTCCGTAACAAGGAGTACAGCTTCCGTATCTCTGCCGAGAACCGCTTCGGTGTCGGCCCTCCCATCTACTCCACCTCCGTGCTGGCCAAGGAGCCGTACGACCCGCCAGACGCGCCGACAGGACTGGAGACGTTTGACGTGACGAAGGAGCAGATCTGTCTCCGCTGGCAGGCGCCGGCGAACGACGGAGGCTCCATGATCCTCGGCTACCTGGTGGAGAGGTCGGAGAGGGGAAGTCAGCGCTGGACTAAGCTCAACAGGTGGGGATTGAGTTCCATTATTAGCAATATTTAGTGATTAATTGGCATTTAATCTACAGTTCTTGTTACAGTGGTAAAAACAGCAAAAGAGCAGACTGAGCTCAGTGCATCATGGTAGCATAATGCACTAACTTGATAAGTTGTCCATTTTCTCCGAGAATGACGGTGCTCCTTTATGATTATTATCATAAATTAGCATGAAAGCAACAAATTTTGTAATTCAATATTTTGCATTAAATTTCTATTTTGTTAATTTCTATTTGACCATACACAAAAGTCACTGTCCTTTTTGTTGAGCCAATAAAGCTTTGTGTCATCAACATTGCATCATTTCCCCTCCCCAGAGCTCCGGTGCGTAAGACGGACTTCCGTTGCTCCCACCTGATGGCTGACCACGAGTACGAGTTCCGTGTCTGCGCCGTGAACGCTGCCGGGCCCGGACCGTTCTCCGAGGAGTCGCCCTACGCCAAGACGGTGGACCCCGTGGGACCACCACAGAACGTACAGGTATGCAAAGGAACAGATTTCCACTTTCTATGCATAAAAAGCTTGTAATTCAGTAACCTAGTCTGTTATGTCACGTGATGAGAAACAGAAAACATTTCTGAAGTCATTTTCCATTGAAATTGAACATTTTCCCATCATATCTTGAAAGTTCTTCTGTATCGGAATAAGTCATTATGAAACCAGTTTGAATCGTAATTTCTGTTGGAAATAGCCAAATTTTTAACTGTATAACAGTAGCAACTCCAGTCTTTGTCAAGGAAAGAGCAATCGACAGCTTCTGTGACATCACATTATGCAAATGATGCATGTGACCCAGTGAGCTGTGGATCATAGGTTGCAGAAAGTTTGTGGCACCCCCCGTCTTTGTTGGATGGTTACATGTCTGACTGTCTTGTACATCTTTAACCCGCAACCTTATGTCCTGCAAGGGGATTAAGGGGATAAGTAACTAAGTATAGCAAAAAAAAGTCTGACAATCTTGTCCATCTGTATCCGCAGGTTGTAGACATTACCCGTTCGTCGGTGACCCTGGAGTGGCGCCGTCCCGCGTTTGACGGGGGCCACCGCATCATCGGGTACCAGGTGTTCCGGCGCGAGGTCAGCGTCCAGGAGCCCAAGTGGGTGGAGTGTCACCACGGCCTGCTGCAGAAACTAGAGGAAACTGTCAAGGGTATGTTTCTGTGTATTCAGTATCTGTATCAGTACTGCATCTGTTTTAGTATAGCCAGTATGACCGCCCTTTAGCGTAATACACCAGCTTCACAGGTGGCTACATTACACTGAACGACTTGTTATCTGATGACAATGCCCCTACTGTACTTGGTGACGGCGAGTTCCACTCTGCGATAGTTTCAGGAAAACACAAGTTTTTGAACACCTCAATCCTTGATTGATAACTCTGGTACTTGAAGGCATGGCTTCTTTTCTGGGCTGGTATCAGATACTACAGTACAGATCGCGGGATAAGCATCATCGGGATTCGGGATTTTGCGGGATATCCCGCGGGAGTTTGCGGGATATCACGCGGGAGACTGCGGGATATCCCGCGGGAGTTTGCGGGATATCACGCGGGAGATTGCGGGATATCCCGCGGTATTCTTTCGGGAGGCCTGTCGTGTCCCGCGTACCGCGTAGCGAAAAAACTTGGTGCGAGACCCCGAAGTCTACCGCGGCTCGGAACGGCGATGGCGGCGTACCAAATGTTTATTTTTACGTCCTGCCGGGCGATCTGTGCTGGGCCGATGGAGTCTGACGCCAGTCAACTTTGCTACAATTTTGCTACAATTTTAATGGTGTTGAAGCATAAGAATGTACGAAAATAATGTGTATAAGGTATTTCTCACGCGGTCATAGTTATTATAAAACTGCTACTTTTTTTCAAAGCTATTGTTCAGCGCAAACTTTAAGAAACTACCGTGAATGAATACAATGTAACGTGTAGTAATCCCTCCGTCTCCGGTAAATTCGGCAAGATTGTTACCAAGAAATAAAATTATGAGGCGTACCGGCAGTAGTTTGTGGTTGTTGTGTTTCATAATCTTGTAGCTGTTGTCTTCTCATAGGTAGCTTGCGTCAAGAGGTCTCCGTATTAGTATTAAGAATTGCGACAATTAAAAGTCTGCCCATCAAAATCCCGGGGCGTGCGTCTCCCCCCTCCCCAAAAACTCTTGCATCAACAACGACCATGTCCATAATTAATTTCGATAGATTACTATCACCCTGAAAGCAAGGAGCAAGTACTTCCACACGGCTGGCAAAGTTTCTTTCGGTAGGAAAACATTCTACTTCTGTCAGCTGCGGGGTCAGCCAACTAGATGAAAACGGAGTCGATAGCGCACGTCCAAGACACGGGAGAACCCGAAAAATAAATAAACACGGGAGAACCCGAACTAAACGTGTTTATGATAAA